ATCTTACCTTTGGCTGAGGGAAAGGACTGCAGTCTTCCTCCTGTAATTCCTCCAGCAGGGCGTCAATATCCTCAGTGACACTGTTCACTGTCCGTTTAGGCTTTGTGGCACTAAATCAGAAACAAATACATGGATTAGTGTCTTGGGGTTGTAGCAGGTGCTGGTGACAGATATTAATGACTGTTTTTAAGAGCAAACCTCTGTATCTACAATAACCCATATTCTGCATATTTCGGCAGTTTCTAGTATAATTTGAAAACGCTGAAGTCATTGAATATAAACTGAACTGATCATTAAGTTTATTAAATTGTAGCAATGCATGGAAGCTGAAGTAATGCTCAGCTAACTTATACCTGACATGTGCTAGCCAAGTTAGCTTTGTTTACCCGTGCTTTTTCTGTCCGTCTTTGTCTTTCTCGTCTTTTCCAGCCACATTTGAGTTGGTGCGAGCCGCTGAGGACGCGATTGAAACGTTGCGACAAAACTTTTTCTCGACTTCATCCAGCAACTCGTCCAAATCTTCATCATCCATCGTAAAGAGTTCCTCCCACAGAATGCTGTACCCCCACCCCAGCTAATCAGCACAAGCTAGCGGCCGAAACCATGAGAGCGTTTATCGTTGCTAAGCAACAGCGGAACATAGCGGAAGCCGAACTGCGGAGTCTTCAAAATAAAAGTCTAAATCGACTCATGCTCAAAGAAAGTTTTAATTTATACTTGACATTAGGTATTACATTAGGGATTTGCCCCAGAGCCTCTGCTTGTTTGCAGATGTTTGTGTCTACCTGACATATGTAGGTCAGGCATGAATCTCCTGGACTATGATGTTTGTAGACAACAGTGTTATCGATAGTGAGAGTAGGGACCTGATAAAATAGGGTCTGGAGAAGTGGGGTCATTGTTCTCTAGAGAGATTGCGAATGAAAATCAGTAGAAGAAAGAAATACTCAAGATAGCAGTGAGACCCCCAAAAAACCCCATACAGGAACACACACTTTGTCTAACCTTTTTTTCAGGTTAAAGTATACTGATATCTTACAGGTAACTATCAAATAATTACATTTGACAACATGGGCGCGCAACTTCTATTATATATTGGGATGTTTATTTATAATGGGATATTTATAAATAGAGCTATTTGTATTTATTAGAGCTATTTGTATTTTTCTTGCTGTGTTTTATTTCATTTAGTTGTACAGCACTTTGGTCATCTGTGTTGTTTTTAAATGTTTATAAATCTCAGTCATGATTTTGTTCTGTTTTGTAACTCTTTAATATATTGTGATGTTTCATTAAGTTTAATTAGAACGCTTATTTTATTAATAAATTTATTTTGAAAATGTGACAGGATGTACTGTTAGTTGTTCTTTCGTTGCTTATAACATTAGAACAACCGTTTTTAAACTAATGTAGGCTAATTTGTCAACAATAAAATAGTCCCGTCCTTTGAAAACCCGAGAATGTAGAATTGCAAATTGCATTTTAAAAATAAATAAATAAGCCAAAAAGATTCGTTGTCGGCAGGATTCGAACCTGCGCGGGGAGACCCCAATGGATTTCTAGTCCATCGCCTTAACCACTCGGCCACGACAACCGGATGGAGCTGTACCTTCAAATTGCACGTTTTTAACAGGCCAAGTTAGTCTTATACGAACGACAGAATGAGTTCCTTTGGTTCATAGCGTAGTTCTACTGAACTGTACTGTACAAAGTACAAGTACAGTTCCGCAGAACTACGCTATAGGAACAGGTGTATTTGTAGATATCAGTGGTGTACTCTGTATTTACAACAGTATTTGCAACCGATTTCCCTACTTCCCTTAGTTGAACAGCTCTACACACCCACATGCTGTAGTCTCACATTACAGTAGTTACTGCAGTTTAATTTGAAACCGGTGTTCCTTAGAATGTGAAAATATCCAACATATATTGTGCATCGAGCTGTAAAAAGGCGCGAGGTCTGAGTTTTACAAGAAGTGCTGCTTTGAAAAAGTCCCAACCACTCAAACACGGTGAAGTGTGAAGACGGCGGAAGAAACTTGGTTAACCTCGTAGTTGAGTTATTTAGGGTCAAGGAACAAGTCTGACTTCCTGCTCATTCAACATTAAAGAAAACCCAAGTCGTATTCCCGTATTATGAGTTCAGGTGCCTTCCCATCAGGTGCAACACTTTTCCGCGAAATTTCCTGAAATCAATTAAGACTTTAGGGAGTTCCACAGTTTTATGAAAACAAATATTATACTAAAATAGAATACTACTCTCCCTGAACACTCACAGAGCTTGATACAATACTCTTCAGGTTGAGGGATTGCCCTGCTTCCATTATGACACATAAAATATATTTAGAAGCTTAGCATTCATCCAGCGGCAACTTAATTCCATAATATACAGTGAATTGTATGTATTCATCTATATAAAGCTTCCTTAACCATTGTGTCAGCCCTCCCTTCACTTCAGATGCAGCCATTTATCTATCTATCCACTTTTTAAATGCTTATCCGGTTCACATGAGCCTGTTCCAGCTAACACTTGGCATTTTCCCAGGACAAGCTGACAGAGGTGGTTCACCTCCAATTCAATTCAATTCAATTTTATTTATATAGCGCCAAATCACAACAAAAGTCGCCTCAAGGCGCTTCATAGATACAGAGAAAAACCCAACAATCATATGACCCCCTATGAGCAAGCACTTTGGCGACAGTGGGAAGGAAAAACTCCCTTTTAACAGGAAGAAACCTCCGACAGAACCAGGCTCAGGGAGGGCAGCCATCTGCTGCGACCGGTTGGTGTGAGAGAAGGAAGACACGATAAAAGACATGCTGAAGAGAGACAGAGGTTAATAACAGATATGATTCAATGCAGAGAGGTCTATTAATACATAGTGAGTGAGAAAGGTGACTGGAAAGGACTGGACTCCAGCATCGTCCTGTTGAGAGGAAGCAGTGCCATGCTGCCCAGCTCTTCACTTCATTTATTAGCGTCTTCTGCTCCTCTGTCATGCAGCGTCCCACAGGGCTCAATTTTAGGGCCACTGCTCTTTTCACTGTATCTACTGCCTCTGGGTTCTATCCGTAGAAGGCATGGGATATCATTTCATTGTTATGCCGATGACTGCCAAATTTATTTGCCACTAAAACACAAGGATGGCATCACCATAAAACCTCTCTTGACATGTCTAATGACATTAAAGCTTGGTTGGCTCTAAACTTTTTAAATTTTAATGAAAAGAAAACAGAAGTGTTGGTGTTTGGACCCAGTGGTCCCTGTGAGTCCTCCTCTGTTGTTTTAGGATCCCTGGAAGTCTATTTTAAATCTGTTGTTACTGACCTTGGTTTTAAGTTGGACAGTGATTTTAAATTGGACAACCAAATCGGAGCAGTGGTGAAGTCCAGTTTTTATCATTTAAGGCGACTGGCAAGAGTAAAATCTTTTCTTTCGAGGCAGCACCTTGAAACAGTGATCCATGCTTTTATTTCTTCCCGCCTGGACTACTATAACTCACTTAATGTGGGGGTCAGTCAGTCATTGCTCTCACGTCTGCAGCTGGTTCAAAATGCGGCTGCACGACTCCTAACAGGAACTCGAAAAAGAGAGCATATAACCCCCGTGCTAGCCTCTCTGCACTGGCTGCCTGTGTCTTTTAGAGGTAATTTTAAAATTCTTATGTTTGTTTTTAAATGCCTTGCCCCACCTTACCTCTCTGAGCTTCTTCATCCCCACATACTCTGTCGGTCTCTCAGGTCAGCTGACCAGCTGCTCCTGGAGGTACCGAGATCCAGGAGGAAGCTCAGAGGGGACAGGGCCTTCTCTATTGTGGCTCCAAAATTATGGAATAATTTGCCCATGCATGTTAGAGAGGCCCCTTCACTGTCCACTTTTAAATCACATCTTAAAACCCACTTTTATTCCTTGGCTTTTAACCTCAGTGAGACTTAGTTTCTCTTTTAATTGAAGTAGTTATTTAATGAATGATTTCACTCTTCTTTTATTTGTTTTTTATTTATATCTCATGTAATTTTATTTTACAGTTCCAATGTACAGCACTTTGTGTCAGCTGTGGTTGTTTTAAAGTGCTTTATAAATAAAGTTGATGATGATGATGATGATGTAACTTGTCTAACTACACTTTCAAGTTAGGAAGGTTTGTCAGGTGCCCAAGATGCAGTTTAACAGCTGTCATCTTAGAAGTGTTAGTGTAATAACTCATAGATTAGCTTTTCTAACTACTCCTATTATCACCTAGTTCAGTTTGTAGTAAATTTACTGGCACTGACTGGTAGAGTGGTTTTCTACTCTGAGAACACTTTTACACTACAAACTCCATACACCAATCCCAAACCAAGCATGTTGCCCAACAACACTTTAGCACGGAGACTCAAGGAACTGGAGATCGAACAACTGATCCCACAAGTTATTAATGACCTCTTATATTTTATGTCAGAGTTTGGAAAGCAACAAGGAATGCCCAGAGTCTGTCCAGGAGAGGTAGAAGCTTCTGAGTAATTTCTGACTTCCAAAGTCGGTTTCTGCACCATCAGACATAAATTGTTAGACACTAATGTGCTGCACTTTAGTTGATGAACAGACCCCAAAAAGCTGCAGAGACACAGATCCAAACTCAAAAATGTATTTATTTAATATACAGGCAGTATTTGGGAGATCACTGGTACTGCAGATGTGTCCATATAGTGTTTTTTTTATGCATTTTTAAACTATCAACAACACACATTAGGAGAAGCACATACACATAAGAAATACCAATGTATTTCTTATGTGTATCATTGAATCAAAAAAGTATCCATGAATCATTAATTGAGATACAGAAAATAAAGCAATAATTTTCTCATGTTACGCTGACTGAATGCAGAATATCAGTGTTCCCATTTCTGTCTCCTTTTGTTTTCAGTATAAGAAAGTATATATATATATATATATATATATATATATATATATATATATATATATATATATATATATATATATATATATTCTTTTTCTGTTGAAGATTTAGGCAATATACATGTTGCTGTGGAGCAGCAACAAAAGAACTTTTATGTCTGTTACCAAACACGTTGGAACGAACAGGCGAAGACCTAAATGCGGACATAAAAAATAAGAAGTGGACCGATAAAAATAAATCCAGACTACACTGACCCGCTCTTAGGACTTTCCCCAAAACAAATGTCACGCTAAATGCAAATAGATCACGGGTGTTCCTATATGTCATCATGTTTCACTTCTTCTTTAGAAGGTCACTTTGTTTTTTAACATTTCAAGTGACAAAAGTCTCCTTTTTTTGGTGTTGTTGTTCTTGAAGGTCATTTACAGATGTGGTACTTCCTGAGAATAATTCTCTGAACATAATTTTTTTTCAAGTTACAACATTAATAAGTCAATAATATAGATTTAATCCAGAAAATCACTTATATAACAATAGCTTATTAAAAGGTCTGCTTTAAAGAAAGAAAACAAGAAAATATGAGAACATAAAACAATTAACAGAATCCAGAATGGTAGCTTCTGTCATGGCTCAATTAAAGCAGGTAGTTTAAAGTAATTTTCAGTGTGGACACTTTAAACTTGTAGGAATGCATCCATCCTCTGTGTAAACATTAGAATTCTTGACAAACACATAAAAGTACAGATCCTCTTACTACGGTGGGACATTTCAGTCTCATGAATAACATCAGTGCCTTTTACTCCTGATACTCACACATCTTCCACTACATGACTACATGTGCACAAACAACGCAACTGTGAACCTTCTTGGCTCCATCCTGCACAGTCACTGTTTGCCTGACTTGACAGTACAGTTTTTATATGTTTGTGTTTGTCTGCCTGCAGAAAAACGTCATTTTCTTAATAAAACTTTTAGCTATGGGGCGCAATTAAAGTAATATCACCTGAAAAATTCAGGTTTTTACAAAATAAATGTGAATCTTTGACTGACTGCTCATGCAAACTCACTGTCTTTCTGTCTTAACCAGTGGCTCTTTTATATTTAACCCACAGACTGACCAACCGACGTCTGATTACTGGACCTGCTCTTTGAACCAGGTCACCAGTTTCTCCAGCATCTTGGCATCTGTGGAGATCCAGCTCTATATCTGACTTTTCTGATGATTTTTGAAAGGTTGTCGCATAATCTTCCGATTTCCATCAGTTTCCACATGTCAGGGCAGAGTGTACTTATTCTATTGGCCAACGTTAGTCCTCATCTTTACACACAGAGTATAGTTTTTGTGGATGGTTTTGGACCCAAAGTGTAGATCAACTTCAAGTCTTTTGGTTCCACTGGTTTGTTCAGGAAAAAATCTTCTTTTGTTATTTGTTCTTGCTGTTGTTGTTTGTTTCTTTCTCTCAATCCATTCGTCAAACAAACCTGTGGTGGAGATATGGGAAATACATTTAGATTAAGAATGACCAGCATATGCATATTGTTTGAGTATGTTTAAAGATGATCATTACAATCTTTTGGTAGTACAACAAAATGATTATTAGGTAAGTTGGGTTCTAAGTGGATGCACATAATAGAAATCTCTTGTGGAAAATCTGTTTAAATATTAGTGTGTTTATATATAATTATCCTCCATTACTTACGTAGCTTATGAAAGACAGCAGAAGTGCTATCATTATCACTACGGAGGCGAAAAGAATCAAGTAATCATCTCTCTCCAGACTTTCTGTGGGAGCAGCTGGACAATCTGAAAATGAAAACACAAATTAAAGTTACTCAAGTTTGAACTCACTTGAACTGTACCACACTGTGCTAGCTCAGGTTGTGAACCTAGTCAGGCTATTCTGCATACAGGAAACTCCTGTGTGGCTGGATTTTGTACATTTTTCAAACTTTCATATCAGAAAACTCGAGGTGCACTTTGCTGTAGATATCTAAGGAAACATTCCCTCTTGTTTGGTATCCCAATAAATCTGCTCAGACTTTACCAATGAGTTTTTCTTTGTCTTTCTTTGCTAAAATATAGAACATGGTAAAAGCTGAACATCAGCATTAGCCACCGTAAAAGCCTTTAAAAGCTTTTCCAAAATAAGCTTCTTCTAAACCAGCTTTTGATGGAAATCTAATGCTCTTGATGTTTTCCAAATCATGTGCTTGACAGATGATTCCCACACTCTATGCCTTGGGCCAAAGAGTGATAGTTTTGTAAAGCTGATGCTCAAAATATAACAGTTGATTCAAGTTTGGAAGTTCTCCCTGAGTCAAATTTCAGTCATGGATGCCTCAGGGAACTTGGGAAAGTTTGGGAAACCTGTATGTTGAATTTGCATGAGCACCTAAAGAACCCAGAGACAACTGGGACAAACGTTTACCTGCCAGCACCAGGTGAACGTAGCCGTCCTGGTTTTGCTCTCCCACAGGTGCTGCCAGGTGACACATGTACACGCCGGCGTCACTGCACGTTGTGTCGGCCAGGAGGATGTCGTGGGTCTCGTTGACCAGCGCCACATCTCTCTCCACGCCATCGTACCATCTCGTCGTACCATCTGGGAGGTCTCTGGTCAAAAGGCCATTACGAGCAGACGATGGGCTCTCTGAAACCTGAAAAAGCATCAGTCCAGTGTTAGAGTCATGTGCCTGATGAATGACCAAACAGGATCTGAGACTAGACAGCCAAACCAAACACGCCTGATGTCAGTGTCATTATCACTTCTGTTAATGGAAAAAAATGCCACTACTATAAATAGCACTTCTTCTTTTTAACTTTTAACCCATTAACCACAGTTACTGCACACCCCATATTTGAGTTGAACCTTGTAGTTTTAAGCAAAAGCCTAAATATTTAACCAGTTCATAAAAACAAGGATTAAAATAATCACCAGACATGTTTATACTGCCATTCTGACCTTTATACACCACGGCTGAGCAGTGTCTTGTGACCAGCAATAATCTTTATGAAAGTATAAGAAATAAATGAATAAACCTTTACTGTTACTTTCACTGCTGCTTTTTACTTTACCCCTACTACTTTTAACATTACTGAAATAGAAGAAAAAGTACATTTTGAGTCGCAGGTAATTCTACTTTAACATTCCTAATTAGACTTTATAGACTAAAGAATTAAGTTGTAAGTACGGCTGCTCTTGTTATTACTGCAGCATACTCATAATGTTACCCAGTTGTCGTGCTGTACTTTGTGTTTTCATTGTTATAACCTTTTCATTATGTGATTGACTACAAATATTTTGACTTTCGAAAGAAACGAAAGTGATATTACTTTGCAGTAATCTGCCAAGGAGAGCCTGACATGTTTTTTTCTTCTTAAATGTGCAGCATGACAATAAAAATAAATTGTATTTGTATTTATTTGGTTATTTAATTTATTTTTACCTTGTACCATCTCACTGCAAGGTACTGGACTCCGGGCTTGAATTTCGCTTTGCACGGAAGGATAGAGTCTTCACCCGAAAGGACCACGACTTCTGGTGTGTCCTCCTTGACAGCTGCACCCACAGCGAGGCACACGCCTGAGGAATACAAGAATAAGATGTTTCTCAGTACACGTATTTATTTTTCTTTCAATACATATAAACATGCAGCTCTTGGTTACAAACTATACCATACAGCTATTCGAATGTACAAACTCTAATAATATAACGTTCGACTAAAGTAAACTGAAAAGACACTCACCCTGCGAGAAGAGCAGAAGACAGCCAAGGAAATCTGCAGATATCATCTTGTTGACTGAATGTTTAGAAATCGAGAGTGAGGAGAACTGTGCCCTCAGCCTTAAATGGGGTTGTAGTGAGAAGGAAGTGGGGAAGGGAAGGGGCGGGGCGGATGAGCGCGAGGTCTCATTCAACTGCTACTCTCACTTAGTGTAAAGCTAAAAACAATGAACGCTGTTCTTATCGTCCTGCTATGTAAGTATATTAGAAATGGTCTTGTAATGCATTTTACTGTACGTTTAAGCCAACCCAAGCTCTCAGTACGTTGCGGTGAGGTACCGGTATGTAATATCATTTTTTTAATAAAGCGACTTTTTATTCAGATGATTTTGCAACATCGGCATAACAACAACTTCGATTTCGATTAGCATAACCAAGTAAACAACATCCTATGTCTCCAAATCTTATGTTTCGCTTCACCGGAGAAAAAGTAGAGAAAGTTTGTGAAAGTCATTTTAGCATCAGCAGACTTAAAGACCTTAAAGACCCTATAGATCGAACACACGTTTGTCTTTCGTGTAAAATGGCAGCGATAAATCAATCGATGGGAGTTTGAATCGAGTTTTGTATTATTTTCTGAGAGTTGGCAAAATTGAAGTGTTTTTTGTTCATAACTTATGGTTTGAAATGTTTTGTAGTGTAAATACTGCATGAAGAAATAGCACAACACTTGCCCTGAAAGCTTATTCAACGTTATGCATTACCGTTTATATGCCTTGTTTGCGAGAATAGCCCGTTAGGCTATAGCTGGCACGTATTTTTGTAATTGTATTCTGCAAGAAAGTTCTTACCATTTTGAATACGTAATGTTGTTTTTTTAATCATCTGATTAATTTTTCGGTCACTGCAACGAAAGCGCAAGCATCCAGGGATTCCCCTTCCTTTCCCCTGAGGTGCTTTCCAGTGCGTATGGCGAAATAAAGAGTATGTCATTGAAGTAGGAAATTCCCATCTTTGAGTCACGTAATTTCTTTTTACTACCACTATTACACGTGGAAGTATCAGAAACAAAACAAGAGACACGTCCCATATAACAGGTTGTTCTTTGATGTGCGCTGGATTTTATGTCGTGTACATGCGAAGCTAATGTTTTTATTTGTGCTTTGGGGTTCATTACTATTGTCAGAATGTTTAAATAAAAATAAAGATACAAACATATTGTATATCCTTGAGATTAATAATGGGTGAAATGGAGAGAGATTAACAATCACTGTCCAGGTCTTTGATTAATGATAAGAAGATGAAACCAAAACCGGTGAATCACAAAAGTGTTCATAGTCTAATGCATTTCTTTTCTTCTTTTTTTTATTAAGTTGCTGCTGTGGGGTCGGCCATAAGCAGCTCAGAGGTGATGCAGAAAAACATTCCTTACTCCTGCTGCCAAAGTAAAGCACTGGAGTTTGACCAAAACTGTGAGAACACCTGGAGTGTTAATGGCAAGGTATAAATATTCCTGCAAGTTCACACAAAAATCTGTGTTACAAAAATCTAATAAAGTGTCAACTCCTGGTTCTGTTCTTTCACACATCAGCTGAAGTCGGCTAGTAATTAAAAAGGCATGGTTAGAGATACTTCAATTGTTGAAAGCAGTTTTTCAACTATGACAAGAATGTACAGTCAACAAGCTTATTTCAGAGGATCAATGAGTCCAATATAAAAGAAATAAGAACTCTTTTGAACATTAAGCCATGTAAAGCCACTTTAGAGCCCAAGAATACAATTCTAAAGCGAGCAACTGGTATAAAACCCCCAAAACAACCTACTAACGCTGCTTTTGGGTTTGTTCCTTTCTGCAGACCTTTGCCCACTCCAAACGTGTGAAAAAAAGCTGTGTACATCCATGCCAGAAAATTGAAGGTGGAACAATTGTCATGGATGAATGCGTGGATCTAAATGTTACCACAGTTTGTCATATGGTACGTTATCCACTCGCCTCTGTCAGTGCGCCCCAGGGTGGCTGTGGCTACACTGTAGCTTGCCATCACCAGTGTGTGAATGTGTGTGTGAATGGGTGGATGACTGGATATGTAAAGCGCTTTGGGGTCCTTAGGGACTAGTAAAAAGCGCTATATAAATACAGGCCATTTACCATTTACCATATTTGTTTTAACTTAGGCCCTTTCTAGAGGGAAAAACATTATGTAAAGTCATGTATGATGCAGTTAAAACCCCTAAAAAGGGGTTTGTTTGAAAGCATGGTTTCTTGGAGTCATTTCTAACTAAGTACAGACTCCATAAGTCAATTCAGACAACTGTACATAATTACAAGTTATTGGGATGTATCATGACTTTGCCAAGGTCTGGAAGAATACCCAAACAGTCATGCTCAAATAGGAGGAAATTGATTAAGATGTTCAAGGTTCTTTCTTGGTGCCAACCAAGAGAAGTGTGTGCTCCAAAATTAGCACCTTCAGGCTCAACTAAAACTTGTATCTGTCTACATGGACAACCAAAATGACTTCTGCCTTCACTTTGTGGGTGTACAAGAACCACTGGCAGCAAAGCAGTACCATGAAAACATGATGCTACCACCATCATGCTTTACAGTTGTTACAGAGCTCTTAGGTTTGGAAGCCTCACCTTTACCTCTACAAGCATACCTTTTGTCACTGTGGCCATCATCTGACCATAAATCTTTAAGGAAATGAACTGAGGAGGGAGCCTAATAGTACATCTTTCACCATTTTGCATTATTGTGATTGCAGCCATTCCTTAGCTCTCTATGACTGGTGCTTATGGCCACTGAGAAGTAGTCATGGCAGTTTACATATTAACAATCATGAAACTCTGGTTTGGCCATTATGCAAATGTACTGTTAGGGAAAACTGCAGTTAGATGAGACTTAGATGAGAAACATCTCTCAGGTCTCTTCTGAAAACACTATGTCCAGATAAACAGATTGCTGATGGCTACCAACAGCATCTGTTTGAGGTGCCATTTGAGAGATGTTTAGAGATGTTTAAACAAATTTTAGTGGGGCTGTATGTATAACTTTGACCCTGTAATGATTAGAGGAAAGCAACGCTGAGAGGAGATACATATCCAGTGCTGGTCCCATGCACAGGTACATGGGAGCATAGGAGGTGAATCTGGTGTCAAATCTGTGCCAGATATAAATATATAGATCTCTGTGCTGTGGTGACCCAAAGGCATGGCAGTCAAAAGTATCCATTTAAAGTCATGTCAACACAATAAAGAAAGAACTCTTCAGGTTTATTTTCACTTTATCTGTTACAGCGCTTTGGTATTGTTAAAGAGGAGTGCATCCACTACCAGAGCCAGCCCTGCTCCCAGACTGTTCCTAAGGATTTTAATGGGTCGTGTAGGCATCAGAGTAAGTCTTGTTTTATACAATGACAGACAAATTTTTGACTGTGTTTTTAAACTCCATTTTTGAGATACATAAACATAGACCTAGATTCCACTCTCCAAACAATGTTTAAGCTTATTTTTATTTCTCTCTTCAAGAAGATGATACAATTTTGAATTGGTGTAGTCAAAGTAGGCCATGATTTTTTTCAGTGAACAAAAACAGGATTAAAAAAAACCACTCCCGTGCATGACATGAATCACAGTCTCACAGTCTTCTGAGTGACAGTAAAATTATTTGTTTTCTGCAATGTTTTGATGTTATTGATGTTAAAACACAAGCAATATCAAAACATCAGCAGCTGTTGAAGATGTTGAACAGCACATGTTCAATACAGGACTAAAGTAGATGGTCTAGTAGAATGAGGCAGTCTTAAAATACTCTTTAAACTCTCCATCATGTGTCTAACATGACACATATTTACATAGGAGTGCAATGCTACTAACCAGACACGAATGTCCCAGGTAACAATCTTGTTATAAGGGTGGAAATGTTCCCGTTTGCTTGCAAACAGTGCTCAGCTTATTAGCACACAGTACAAGTCATTTAATCAAATCAATGGAGAATCCAAAACTTTGTGTTATGGCATCTATTCAGTAAGCTGAAAAATATTTAATTCCACAATAGAGACAAAGGATGCACACATTAAAACTAGTGAATGCTATATTAGCACCTATCTGAATAGTGGTTTATTATAAGCATGAAAATCTAACCTGCTAACCAATTTTCTTTCTGCTGCAGGCACCGTTGGATTGGCACTACTGACAGCCGGATGGATTGTGAAGCAGATGATCTCCTGAGTCGTCTGCTTTTGCCAGAAAGAAAAGATGCTTTTAATATCAGGGGTGGAAGGTATTTCTGCTAAGGGAACAGCTATGCTTTTGCTTCCTGTCAGCTTGAATCAGTTTGCACTGTCTCGCCATGCAGTGCCGTGCAGACAGTGTTTACCATGAAGGCAATTTTATACTTTCATACTTTATACAGCTATAAGCTCAAAAATATTATATTTACACTTCTTCTTACAGCACTGAAACACTTTATCATTCTTCAGGCACATCGGTTTCCATCCTTTACTGTTAAATGACAAAATGAAAGTGATTTAGAGAGCATTGGAATATATCCTACAACCTAAAAACCTCACTTTTTTTTTTTTTTTTGAGTCGTGTTTCTCTCAGGGGTGTATTTACCAAGAAAGACCCTTTTAAAAATTTCATGGATTTCTTCCACAAGCCAAAATAATAATGATCACCAGTCAATTTTTTCGCTTTTGTCTCCTTGCCCCTTTTGGTAAGATTTTTAAGTTTAGTGTTAAATGATGACAAAATATTTAAAAAGTGTAACATTTTCCTTATTAATGAGACAATTTGCTGCTACCATTTATTTATTGACACTGAATGTGTATGGACATGACCTGCTGCTATTTAAATGACAAATTTATTGATGAAGATAAACATTCAATTTATTTGAAACACACTAAACTACAGTACAGAGGTGTACTTAGCTGCTACACTTGGTAAATACAACTCCCAGAGTTCACTGAACAAAGCTGCTCACAGAAACCTTTCAGAAATTGTGACTAGTGTATTATGAAGGGAAGAAGGTTTCTGTTGTGTCATAGGACTGGAAGAGGTTTAAAAAATGTGTACATGCCAATTTGATGTTTACAAACCAGTGATGGTAAAAATCCAGGTACTAATTTTAACAAACTGAAAGTATAAACAGGTCCCACTTGTCACTTTACTGTTATAATCTCAGGAAACAAAAATACAGTGAAGTGCTGACAAATTTATTATTTATTTATTTAAAAGAATACCCTAAATGCACTTGAAAGAAGGTCAGAGATTGTCGAAGCAGAAAAGAGCATCTTATGTTTGTTTGGTTTACTTGAATTGCACCAGCGACCTCAAAGCTGTATTTTACTACTGTAGGACTAAACCAAGCACAGAACACAGCTTGTTTTAGTGTTTCATACATTTTCAAGCATTTCTAAACAAACTGCTCAAAACTAACTAAACTAATCTAAACTGGTCAAAACAATTACCACTGACACTATCCAAAGTAACAAAGCAAATATTCAGGTAATATCTGTTTTGAAACCACTTACTGACATTAACTGAGCTGCTAATAAATAAGCTACTTTCTTTAAACCATTTCATTTTTGAATAAATATGCTCCATATAAACATTTCAAGTTATGACAAAATAAGCTATTTAAACTATGTGATTGGTGCCTTGGGAAACTGAGATTAGGCGTTTTTAAAAACTTTTATTTTTAATTTCATAATGGGAAATTGACATTTCTTTTTTTACAAAAAAATATCTGCTGCTTTTATTTATTTTAAGTGGCTAACAATAAGGTATTTACAGCTTTTTTGACAGGCTAAAGTAAACTCTTTTTAGCTGAGATTTAATAAAGAATCAGTCAATATTCAAGACAATACTCATAGATTATAGAATTTTATTTATGTTGTGATCCATTCTTATTCTGCAAAATGCCAAATTTATGTGTGGCTCATCTTATTAAAAGATGACATAAATACAGTTATGTGGCACATAGTTAAATAGCTGAAGGACAACACCAGCAGTGGAAGGAGTAACATTCCCTAAACACACAGTTCTCATGTACAGCTCTTCCTCCAGAACTCTTAGTGCAATGGCAGCTATGAATGTTTACAATATGTATTTGAATAGTAACTGTAACGGTTTTACTACATTTAAATGACAGCTACAACTAGTAAAGCAGAATCAAAGCCATTCTCTGTATAGATAGAGTGGAAATGAGATAAACTGCCAGTATTTCTTTACCAATGTTTTCCACTCCATTTCTCTCCTCCCTACAATAACTGTTTCGCCCAAATGTGGCCCATATCTGCAGTTTTCTCTACAGGCACTTTGGCCTTGACTAATGGTACTGTACTGGTACTGGTGGAGTAAGTTTAATACCAGGCTACATCTGACCCAACACTAGCTGTGACCAATGTTAGGACCACTCTGTGCCTTTTATCCATGTTTGGCAGATGCACCATTTGCCAGTTGCCATAAAATAGCCAGATTAAACCCAGATGTGTCTTCTTTCTGGAATACATAATTTTCTTTTGTTTTTTTTATTGACCTCTCATGTGTTTTACAAATATTCGACATTTCCACTCCAACTAGGGAAACTATTTTACATTTTATTACCAACTTAAAGTGTAAAGTATTAAAAAATAAAATATTAACAGTGTTTTCATTTGGACCAGATGAATATGTAATAAATTGTCCTACACATCTGCTACATTATATATAAGGCATTAACTTTAAACTCTTTCTGCCCATTAAAAAATGCATTAAAAAAATGTGAAAAAACACACAAACTTTAGATTTTCTCTAATTTTTTTTATCATCAAGACAGTCCATGTACTTTCAATACAACGTGTTTTAATTGTGATTTTTTTAATCAGTTTCTTAATCATATCATTAGCTTTTGATTAAATAAAATAAAATCAATACATTTGTTTTAATTAACAAACAATTATGCTCTTTTTTGCTTCCCAATTATCTCTTATCTTTTGAAAATGATTATTTCATTAAAATTGGGCATTAAGTTAATAATAGAAACATTCCAATAAAAGCACTAAAAAGCTGTCCCACTGAAATACAAAAAGGACATATCAAACGTAACAGCTGAGTATTTAAAAACTATGCAGCCAATTAAGTGGTGCTTTTGTTTGTTTGTTGTGTGTGTTTGTGTGTCTGTGTGTGAGAGAGAGATATGGGGTGGGGGACTTTTAGTATTATTGTTTTTATTAGAGACTTCATTAGAGACTGGAAAAAAATGTGAAATAATCAAAAACAAAAAACAAAAACTGAGCCAAATAGAATTACCGGTAATAAAAAAAAAAAAAAGAAAAATTGCTGTGTTTGAAAATCCTACTGCCGAATAGGTGTTTATTTATTTGTTTGTTTGTTTGTTTTAACCACACTGTTGTAATATGATCTATTGAAGCACCAAACATTAGAATGTAAAATTCCATATTTTTACAGTCATGTGTCATTTCATGCAGTAGGGTGTAGGGTACTTATGTGCTTTCCTTCTTGTGTTGCTGCTATCATATGTTAATCAATGCATCAGTGCTGTCCATGCTGGTAGTATAATATTATTGCACAGCTATGAAATAAAACAAAACAAAACACAATTATCGTGTGTGCTGAGTGCTTTCTTAATGAAGAGGTAACAGATGTAGTTTTATACAAAAAGTCCATGTCACTGATAATCATAGTTTTTAAGTTGGGTTTTTGTTGTGCACAAAATTGTCCTGTACTACTCATTCTGCCATTTTATTTTGTTGAAATGTTAGTTTGAAACTATAACATTGCTTAGGTCACACAGCGGACATGTCTCAGCCTCCACCACTCTCAGCACTGGAGCCCCCCAGGGGTGTGTTCTGAGCCCCCTGCTGTACTCTTTGTACACATATGACTGTGTGGCCACTACCAGCTCCACCACCATCATCAAGTTTGCTGACGACACCGTCGTGGTGGGCCTGATCTCTGATAACAACGAGACGGCCTACCTGAAGGAGATTAGGAATCTGGAGAACTGGTGCCAGAGGAACAACCTCCTTCTAAACGTCAGTAAGACAAAGGAGCTGATAGTGGACTTCAGCACTAAGCAGGAGAGGAACTACCAGACCCCCGTCATCAACGAGTGCCCAGTGGAGAGAGTGGACAGCTTCAAATACCTCGGAGTTCACATCACGCAGGACTTGTCATGGTCCTGTCACATCAACACCGTGGTGAAAAAGGCCCGACAGCGTCTCTACCACCTCAGACGCTTGAGAGACTTCCAACTGCCCTCCAAGGTGCTCAGGAACTTTTACTCGTGCACCATAGAGAGCATCCTGGCGGGAAATATCTTAACCTGGTTCGGGAACAGCACCATGCAGGACAGACGAGCTCTACAGAGGGTTGTGCGGTCAGCTGAGCGCACCATCCGCTCCGAGCTCCCTGACCTGCACTCAATCTACAGCAGGCGGTGCCGGACCAAGGCCAGGAAGATCGTGAAGGACCTCAGCCATCCCAACATCAGACTGTTCTCTCTGTTGAGGTCAGGAAAGCGATTCCGCTCCCTGAAGACCAACACAGAGAGACTGAGGAGGAGCTTCTTCCCGCAGGCGATACAGTCTCTCAATCACACCACCACACAGTACTGACCCACACATATGATTCTTACACACACACTGGACTTTCTGGACATTGGTTTTGCACACATAGTTTTTTTGCACAACACTGGTCACTATATTCTTCATTTCCGGTTAATACTTGTACAGCTGCTGTTATTGTGTATATATTTATTTATATTTAGATTTCTTCATACATTCTTATATAGTTCTATATTGTGTATTTTGTTGTACAGTTATTTTATTTTCAACTTTAATTTATATATTTTATCTTATTACTTCCCAGTTAAATTTACCCTTCATTCTAATTTGTGTTGTACAGTTATTTCATTTTTAACCTTAATTTATATTTTATTCCTTCCTAGTTAAATTTACCCTTTTTAATTTTTCATATTTATTCCTATCTCATTCATAGCCTTTTCCTTTTTTGTTTTCTTTAGGTCACGAGCAGTTGTCCAAGCATTTCACTGCATATCGTACTGTGTATGACTGTGTACGTGACAAATAAAATTCGAATTTGAATTTGAATTTAGTAAATGTGTATTTTTAAGCCACACATTACCATAAGTGTACTTTTCATATACTTGAAAGAAATCCAGTGAAAAAAACCTGATAATAAGAGTGTAATATGCTATTTTTCTTTTTCATTTTTTTTTGAATCACTGAAAAAAAGATGTTTATGACGTCGTGGAAGATCCAGGAAATTGAAACCAGGCCATTTCTGGGGTCATTGACTGCAAAAACTTTGCAAAAAGTAAAATAAAATAAAAATGCACCCAGTCAGAAAAACTGAAGACTCAGACTGACTAAAGAACACATCTGTTTATTTGTTTCAGAGCGCAGCACATGTACTTTAGAGTCTTTACAAAATATTTACATAGATTTATCTATTTATTCTTTGGGTACCAGAGAAATTAAAAAACTAAAATGAAGAAATAAGGAATCAGCTTGGGATAATTTATCATTTTCTAAAATCACAACATACACAGCAGTAAAAACTGCTGCAGAGTTTGAACACGTATGAAATATAATCCCTGTGTGGTATCAGATGTTGACTAGAGGCATGAGATTTCTGCACAAGTCAAGTGCATCATGACACTACACTTTATCCACTGACATTTATATCACAGCTTTTGACAGACTATTGTCACAATATTGTATGTAAAATATTTCATTGTTAACACGAAGTTATTCCTATAAGCACCATAATATCTGATGTTTAGTTTCAGATTTTTTAACTCACTGGCCCTTTCACCAGACCCTGCTCTTTGCGCATCACTGGTGCATAAATGCTGCAGTCTCGTGCCTCGCAAAATCCCGGTACACCTGCAAATCCAACCATGCCGGGTGGACCCACGGGACCAGGGAAGCCACGAGCCCCACGGGGACCCTCCATGCCATCTTTTGGTTCTGCCGGGTTACCTGGTGAACCTGTAAAAAGCAAAATTTGAAAAAAGAAAACATGGTGCAAACATTCATTACGCTATATCAAGACAGTACTGAGTTTTTGGCTAATTACGGACTAAATAAATAAATTAGTATGTTTTTTATTTTTTATTTAAAAAAAATTCAGGCTTTACTACTTGTTTATTACAGATACACTGTTATCTTTCACTGTTATCTAATTCAAGATAAAAAACAAAAAAAAAAACAGTCCTGAAGTAATGTTTACAGGATGTTTGACAGTGTGGATGCGACCAGTGTCCTACCTCTGAGTCCCTGTGGTCCGTTGAGTCCTGGCAGCCCTATACCCGGATCTCCTACAACGCCTTTGGGTCCCTTTCGACCTTTTAAAAAAGATAAAAGATGCAACTCACAAAGCTGCACAACTATGTTTTCAAACGTTTTTTTCCCTTTTGATGAAATACTGACACTGTGAGTAAAAACCATGGCAAGAATACTATTCTAAATGATTTTAAATTGTTTAATTTACACTAGTGCCGTTCTTTAGCTATCCAACTTTTTCCCCACTATGTGCCCTTATATGTCCATCTTAACCTTTCAAAGTTCTTAAACTCTAAAACCTTCAATAAAAAGCATAAATATAAAAAAATAACATAGGTATTTAATCGGTCAAGGGAGTAGGAAACTCTTGCCTCTGTCGCCGGGTGTTCCCTTTTGTCCCTCCAGTCCTCTGTCACCTTGAACACCTCTGGCTCCTTTTGCTCCGGTTTTTCCTACTTTACCCTGATAGATGAAGGCAGAAATTATATTAATATACTAATAGGTATAAGGGCAGGACATCCAAGAGTTTATATCACATCCCTAGTTTATCTCACAGCAGCTATTAAAATGACAAATAAATAATAAATAATAAAAAGACTGAAGAGGGACTTGCAGCTTTGCCTGGTGGCCCTGGTGGCCCTTGAGCTCCTGGGGGCCCAATGAGTGTCCGGTTGTTGATGGGACAGCCCTGAGAGCACTTGGCTCTGATGGAGGAAGCATACTGAGAGATCTGAGCTGTAACAACACCTCTGCAGAGCTGCAAGACCTGCTCATCAGTAAGCCCAGGACCCTGCAGGACAACAAACAATTCAAATTCTCTGCATCAATGCTGCAAAACTCCAGCGTTACAGTAAGAAGCTATCATCTTACTCTTTAAGTGTGAACGAAATAATAAACTGGTCAGGTTCAGACAAAATCAGACATCTGATGCTGATCACTAGAGGTGATGGAAGTTTCTCTGACGTCTAAGATACAAAATGAATGATAAGTTAGTCACGAAAATATTGTGCACATTAATTAATAATGGGAATTCATTCTAATTATTAATGATTTTAGTAGACTGAGGCCCAGCTCTTAAGAAGACACGTTATTGTGATTTATCCAACAGTAATTTTTTCTGTGATATTATCAGCCTTCTGTTTGTGAGATGTATAAAAGCTAAAATAATATAAGCCAATAATATTTTCATATAACATTTGGACTTTTCAAAATGACTAACTGAAGTGAAAATAATGGAACCAGGAAGGAAATGACGTCAGGGAAATAAGTTTCAGCGATACTTTTAGTTCCTCTTTTAAATAAGGCAGTAGATATTATTTAGAACACACTGAGTGTGTTTCAAGTTTAACTTAAGTTGAAAACAGGGATTTTTCAGTTTAATCAGAATCAGAATACTTTATTGATCCCTGGGGGAAATTCTTTTTTTTGTTACAGTGCTCCATTATAAACAACATTAACAAGACAGACCAGCATGTCATGGAGTGGGTGGGAGGTGTTATCCAACATTGTTTTTATTTTGGACAATTTATTTTATTTATTTAGTGGTGAAAAACAGCAAACATGAACCTTCAAGTATTAACACTGATGAACTGGTGTTCACAATGGTTACAAATGAATATTGTTTCAATGTTCAATTTGGTTAATTCAAAAATCCATGCATTCTCCCATGCAGATGTTACTCACAGATGGACCTTGCACTCCTTTAGGTCCAGCTCGACCCTTAAGACCTGGGTCCCCGGCTGGACCACGTTGTCCTCTGACCCCTGGGATGCCAGGAGGTCCAACTGGGCCTGGAGCCCCAATGGGACCAACAGCTCCCTTAGGCCCACGCTGTCAAAAGAAGATGTTTCAAATGAAGAAGAAAGAGGCATGTGAGTACTTTTACACTACAACAGATTACTGTTTATACCCCAAAAAGCGTAATTAGTATGACTAATTTTTAGTTAGTTGTCTGAGTTTTTGCAAATTATATGTTTACACAGATTACAGCATGGGCAACGGGGAAGTGAAGTGAAGGGATTTTGAAAATGTGTGATGATGATAAAAAAATTTGAATGTTTTGTCTTGAAATCCCATCATAATAACATAAGCTTCGGGTCAACTGTCAGCTGTTAACCTGGCAGACAATGTGGAGAAATCATAAACAGTTCTGCCAGCTACGAAGAACAGATGCTAATGTAGATACCTCTGCTTTGAGACAAGTGATAAAGCTGCAGCATCAGAATGTCTTTTGAAACAATGTTACACTGGATGCCTGTTTGTATGTTTATTCTGAAAGTTGTTGTTTCATAGTTTAGAACAAACTTCATGCTGCACTGAAGCAAAGGACAATACTGGAGCAGGGCTGGACTGTCAGTTTTCCCAAAGGGCCATGTGACTAACTGGGGCTGTTGTGGATGACTGAACCAACAAACTTAACTCAGTTGTACTCAGTATTAACTTTATCTCCTTCTAAGCTTATTGGTGCAGTACTCCACACCAGTCCCTGTATAACTTTGCCTTTTTCAGCTTTAACATGACAATACCCTTGTGTATAAAGCCTGTTCCCTAAAAAGTGGGTTTTCTGATGTTAGTGTGGGAAAGAAATGACTGGCCTGACCTGAGTTCAATGACATGCAACTCCTTTAGGATGACCTTAAAACTCTGAAGGCTATCCAGACCGATTAGCCCTGTTTAATGTTCATGGTTTTAAATTATTTATATATTTCTTTTACATATGGAGTAATGTGTTCTGATTTTTGCCTGATATATGTAGGATATTCTACTAAAACCGATAACAACTTGGAATCAGTATAATAAGGAAAGGCATGAAATGGTTTTTTTATGGATTCAGAAACTCATGCTGCATCATGTGCATGTATTTCTATGACATTAGAGTAAAAACAAGAAATGTAAATCAAGTACGCACCTGTCCTCTGTCTCCACGGTCTCCTACGCTTCCCTGAAAGGTAAAACGAAAAAGGAACAAACTCAGTGAGTAAATCCCAGCGGGGGTGGAAAGAGGAAATGAAATGGAGAGTACGGTTTGTAGGAAGATGTTTCTTTATCTAACTGTAAACAGGTAAAATCACCTTCTGTCCTTTCTCGCCTTTCATGCCCTTCTTCCCTGCTGCACCCTGCAGGGGAAAGTAAATATGATGAAAGAGGAAGTTGTTATGATTGGCAGAGGATATAAAATATAACCAGCAGCAGGTGCTTTATTTCTTGAGTCATCAATAACAGAACTAACAGGACAAGCAGGAATAACAAAACACCACTCAATGGTGGGTAATTCCCTTCTGCGTTTAATCAGGTCAGGAGACATTTTCAGAAACAATGTCTTTACCCACATCCTACTGACAGGGGTCCTCGCAGACTCCTGCAGAATAACTTTTTTCCTGTTGTTCCCATTTTTTTAAGACTTCAGTCAATTTGTTCCAAATGATGTGACACCATTATTTTCTATTTTGAGTAGTACTTTCTAAAAATACTAATGTTTTAGAGACCCAGTTCAGTGGTGTCAGGATATCATCTCTGCTTTCTGCAAGTGGTAACCTTCAGCTTGCACTGGGGTGGTTTGCATCTGACTATAAAACATTGAGAATTATCATCTCCAAGTCTGAGGCCATGGTTCTCCACAAGAAAAGTGTGGAGTGAAATTTGTCTGGGTTTAAGGATAAGTTGCTGCCCAAAGAGTTTATGTATCTGCTTCATGAGTGAGGGAAGAAAAGAGCAAGAGACTGGGAGACTGATTGGTGAGGCATCTGCTGTAACACAGATACTGCACTGTTCTGCTGTGGTGAAGAGAGAGCTGGGGTTGAAAGTGAAGCTTTCAGTTTATGGCTCATTCTACATCTCCACCCTCATCTGAGCCACCACCTCAGTGTAGTAACTGAAAGAATAAGACTGCAGCACAACTTTGTCCAAAGCATGTTTATGCCCATGCTCAGAGTGAGGGTTCTGAGCTTGGCCATTCGGGAGGAACTCAAAGTACAGCTGGTATTCCTTCACATCAAAAGAAGCCAGCTGAAGTGGTTAGGGCAGGAAGCCTACTGGATGTCTCTGAAGGCATGTCCTGGAGGAGGTCTCAGGACAGATCTTGGACATCAAGGTTCAAGGTTACTTTATTTATACCTGTAGGTAAATTTGCTTTACAGAAAAATGATAGCATTAGTTTGCTATTATTTTTGCTTCTTGCAGTAAATTACTCTTTAGTCTGTATTCTGTTTATGTTTAATATGCTGGTAACATGAAGGATAAAAATGATTAAGATGGACTGATAGGCCCCATGCTGATACGTCTGTGCCCCCCTTCCCCGACCTTCTTTATGCTGCTGCCAACTTAATACCAAATATTAAATAAAGAAATAAAAAGTGCCAACTAAGAAATTTTGATCATGTTTCTACAACCATCACAAGATGTCAGCAGTTAAGCAGAGAAGCCCAGACCTCCCTCTCCCCAGCCACCTCCTCCAGCTTATCTGAGGGAACACCAAGGCGTTCCCAGGCCAGCCGAGAGATATAATCTCTCCAGCGTGTCCTTGGTCTGCCTCGGGGCATCCTCCCGGTGGGACATGCCCAGAAGACCTCACCCAGGAGGCATCCTAGTCAGATGCCCGAACCACCTCAACTGGCTCCTTTTAATCTGGAGGAGCAGCAGCTCTACTCTGAGGACATCATGGTGGTGCTATAGTTGCTGCCTCATAGGAAGAGGGTGTTAATCTGGTGGGGGACTGAGTAGTTTGCAGATGTGTTGAAAAGGAAAAGTATTTTTAACTTTCAGCCAAATTTACGAGTGGAGCGACAACCTTCCAACTTTCATTTTGAATTAGATCTCAACAATATTAAGACATGTGGTTTTACTGCTATGGTAGTTTTTTCCTCCGTTTATTCTACTCCAACATAAATGAGAGACCGCTACACCCATGAGATAAAAGAAAGCCTTAAGCCTTAAGCACACACACAAACACTAGCAGCCCCTGAGCCTTGACACTAAATAATACCCAACAAAGTTCATGTCAAACACAACAAAACTCTGACAACACAGACAAGGGAACTCCCCAACTTAGCTATTCAAACCGCACCTCCGTCCACACACAGACACATGAAAGCGATTGTAAATAGGAAAGTATTTAACTAGCTACTTATTCTGACCATACAACTGACAAAAGATTGTTTGTCTGTTTTCACTGACTCAGAGTTTTCATCAAAGCCTGAACTGAATTTGAATTTTGAGTCAGCACTCTCTGGTAGCTAATGTGTTATGTTTTGTTTTGTTTACAAGTGAAAGTGTGTCTGGTCTTTTAGGCATACAAAAGGTCACAAGTTACAGTCGCTATACCTTTATTTTATTTTACTTTTGTAATGCAGTTTGACTGTATAGTTAAAGAACTCACCTTCTCCCCATCAGGTCCCGTCTCACCTTTTGGCCCCTGTTAAAAAAAAATCAATTAAACACACAACTAAATAATATATCTTGATATTAAAGGTCTGTTGGTCAGTTCTGAAAATTATCAAAATGTGTGGAAGACATTTGGAAGAATGACTAAACACTAAACTAACACAAATAGAATGATTAGCACAATACTTAAGTTAATATTTAAACTATAACTGCTTTTATTAGTTTATTACAAGTTGCTAATACAGTAATCCTGACTGCAAAACCGCCTGGTAACCACCCATTGTTTTGGTCACTAGGAGACTGCGTGGAAGACACAGAACTGTCTGCAAAAACTCACTATTTGCTGACTTTTGGTGGCACTTTTTTCAAGTTTCACTACTGCTCTTTTGAGTAGTTGGCAAGTGTTTGCAGACAGGTTGGTGTCTTCAAAACAAACTACTGGCAACTGTGGTAATTTGCTGACAAAATCAAGTGTAAGGAGGTTTTTGGTGCAGCAAAAACAATGCAATGTTTAATATTTCTTAAAAGACTGAAAGATAGAAGAGAGAAATCCTTGAAGATGTTGAACACAGAGTATTGCGTGCACACACTTTTGGGCCTTGGAGGCCCTTTGCTCCTGGTTTTCCTGGTATTCCAGCATCTCCTTGTTCTCCTTGGGCTCCCTGTTGAACAAATAAAAAAAGCAACTGAAAATTAAATAGGCTTGCGCTGAGCAAATATTTTATCTTTCATTTCTGCTTTTTTTACAATTATATTAAAAACAGCTAAAGAAATCTTAAGCTATTGCCTATACGGTAACTTTGAATAGACGATGATGAGATACGAAAATCAAACAATTGGTCACTTAACGATATTATTTACATTACAATAATCAGTCAAAAGACTTTCATCAGAATAATCAACAGTCTTACTGAAACTGACTCAGTCATTTTGAAATCACATTCATGTCAAGACTAAAACAAGTAATGGGGGAAAAAATCTGCATTTCTCTGAATAAATATCTTGTGGAGTGCCACAAGGGTCTATGCTGGGGTTACTTGTTGTTTTCTCTGAATTTGAAGGAAATCCATCAACCACTTACATTTCTATATGCCAAAGTATATATCAGGTATGCTGCGCTTAAAGCAATGTTTGGTTTTGAAAAGTTCTCTGAACACCAACTTTGAAATAATTACTCAGGATTTAACTGATAGAATCCACTGTAATGAAAAAATGTAAAAGCACTGTATGGTCAGTCACCAGTTTACTGAGCTTCTCATCTCTCTGTCAACCTCTTCTCCAGATGTTCCAGATATGTAACTCTGGATTAAAGTATATTAGAGACACATAAAAATACATTAAGTTTGCCTGTTGGATCTATTAGCTATAATCCAAACTAACAGTGTGTTTGTTATTTGTTTTTTTTTACTATTAGCGATATCCTCTTTTCATAGTTTCACTGTTAAGGTCACATGGGTTTCATTGACTGGATTCATGCCAAAATAATCTGCTGATTTGAGCTTTGGGAAAATTCTTTACTTATTCAGTAGAACAGCTGCTAAAAGTTGTACAGTGTTATGTTTTAATGAAAACCGCTATCTTCACTTCCACTTCTGGATTTTCCCTGACTTGCAATTCACTGATCTATGGACAGTTTCCATAACTTAGATCAGCTGAACTGAGAAAGAATAAAAAAAAAAAAAAAAAAAAAAAAAATCAGTCCACTGCTAAGTATCTATTCTGTGCATCCAGTAAATAGCTTGAATGTACTCAGATTCAATATATTTTTGTAAATAATTTGTTAGGTTTGATATTTCCCAGGATTATAAATAATCTCACCGCATTCATCTGTAACTGTTTGACGTTTTCTGCTTTCAATTTCTATTTCTTAAATAAAATGCAGCCCTATTATTCATATTATCTTCATGGATAAAAACAGATATGAATTTGTTTATGTCTAGCAATATGTTTCACTTCCCTTTGGTATCTCCCAGAAAATTAAAAAGAAAAAAAAAACACTGGCATATAAAGGCTAAATGCAACTGCTAAAGTTCCCCTAAGCCTACAGAGACCATAGATTTCACACAACATTAGTTTGACATTTACATGGGACTGGCCAAAGAGTGGTAAGACAATGAATAACAACGAAGCAGCAGATGTCGCGATAACCAAAGGGTCTGTCCCTATTACTCAATTTAAACCCATGTGTAACTTTTTGGCTTCTCAGACCAGATAACCCAGGTGGTCATAGGGTTCTTTCTCAGTAATTTGTTTCTGTTATTGGGAAAACTACTTTTACAAACTGGCTATGAAGATTTGTGTTTTGTTTTTGATGAAAGGTTATATGTATTTAGTTTACTGATTGTCAGTGTAGGTTCTTAGTCATCCAGGACATGGTAGTCTCGAGTGCCTAAAAAGAAACCAAGTGGACTTTTTTAGGTTTGTGAAGATGTTTCTCCTCTCATCCAAGAGGCTGTTTTAAAGTTCCAGGGATTTATGCTGCATTCCAGATTCCAGATATCTTGGAAGTCGGGAGTGGCATCACTCCAGAGTTAGAGCGCTCCAAGAAAAACAGAATTTCTTTTGACTGTCAGCAAGCTAGAGCCATTCAGGTATCACTAGAAATAAAGCATAATATTTATTCTTTATGCTTAAAAAAAACACATTTGTGGATAGAACCTGATCACTGCTCTGCATAGGACTTATTTAATGAGTGAAAAATACACAAGAGTTGGAGTACAGAATAAAAGTTTGCAGTTTTACTATTGTTTACATTCAGTGCTGCCATGTTGGTATGCTCCATCTTTTCAATTGGGAACTTTGTTCCACAATTCTAACCCGACTTCCAAGTTATTCAGGAGCGGGTTAGAATTAACACAGTATGCAGTATTAACCTCCAGTGGGAACTGGAAGTGGTCTTCAGGGTTGTTGACACATTAATAATCATCTGAGATGTCACATGAGTCAAGGAGTGAAAAAAGCATTGGGTCATTCGGTCACTGAGTTGTGTGAAAGTGTGAAATCTTTGTAAGATGTTGCCCAACTCCATCATCGAGCTCAAGAGCTCATAGTTTGAGCTCTTGAGGTCACCCAGACAAGGTACGAGTTGCGGTTGAAACACCTGGGGAGGGATCTCGAGACTGGACTGTAGGTGAATGACAGCTGGTGTCGTAAGTCATCACCTCTGTTAAGTGATTGTCACCCACCTTCCCAAATGAAAACTTTGGCACTGGCAACATGACATTCTAAAATTAATAAGTTGTTCTTCAGACAATGTTGCCAATGTTCTTATAATTCTTACCTGTTGTATTTCACTAACATTACATGGACAAAAGCACTGGGGCAGCTGCATAATAGATGTACAGGAACTGCTTGGCCATCGAAGTCCGTATCATGAAGCTCAGTTTTTGTGCTACTGTTTAAGCCAGAGGGGGTTTGGAACTCTTACTTTAATTTATCGCACAATGCACCTCAGTATTCAGAAACCCTGCTCTGTAATTTGAACAGTGATCTTCCACTCCATGTCTGAATTGCTGCCGTTCTTAAGCAATAACAACACTTAAAATTTATCACTGAATATCAAGAAGGTAAGATTTTCGCAAAATGGCTTCTTTTTTAACCATTACTGCATGGCTTGGTGCTACATTTTGTGCACCTTGTGGAAATGGGGCTAAAAATACCTGAATTCAGAGGTGGTCTTTTTTGTCCATATAGCGTACATTTTGGATCCTTTTTTACATTTAATGATTGATAAAAAATTGTGGGGCATTGGGAATAAACTGTATTTCAGCTCCTGCAGCGGGGCATTCCAGAAAAAGTCTGAGAACCACTTGTGACAGGCAGGGACCTGAGATCACTGGACTAGAAAGACTGGACTGGCCTGTAAGTAAAACACATGTGCAAAAGTAACTCTTTTGCTCATGGGAAAATCCTCCAGTTTAAGGGAACAAAAGAAGAACTGGAATGGGCGTGATTTATTGTGGGAATTGTCACAAGAGCTGTTGTATGTTTGTAAATAAGGAAAAGAACCAAACACGGAAATGGACTGTGGGAGAAAAAAGGAAAAACTGAAAGTGAGTTTTTGAGTTAATTGACTGGGCTTTCCTAAGTGTGATCAACTGAAAATTTATGTGTTTTTCATGATTGGTGTTTCAAGACATTTAAGTGGTTATGGGTATCTAAATTTTGCAATTTGTCTTTCCCACATTGTATTATAACTGTGACGCCACTCACTCACCCCAGCGCCCACTCTGCCTCGAGGTCCTCTGATGCCACCATCGCCTTTACTCCCCTGCCAAGGAAGAGCAGGTAATAACAGGTTAAAGGAAGAAAACACAAAATAGACACTAGAGCCCAGTTTGTGTCTGGATGACAATAACCTATAAAGTTTTATGACTGTAACTTCCACAGTTCACATTTCAGTATCATGTTAACAACAACCTGTCCTGACATTTAAGCACCATTCAGTGTATAGTGGGGCTAATTCCTGGTACAGTAGGTGGCTTTAGGATCTATTTTTCCAATGACTTTTACAAAAGGAGTCATATGGTGAAAGAAACATTGGTGGTCCAGGGTATATGCTACAGCTGTGTGTTGCTGTTAAGGCCACAGTATTGCAGAACTACAGTAAAAAAAAAAGAAAAAAAGAAGAAGGTTTTCACTGGAATTTTACAGTCCTTTGAAAAAAGGTACACATTTACTGCTTCCATAGGAATTAACTACGGAAATCCAAATCAAATCCACTTGATTAGCTGATCATCAGCAAGTGTGAACATTTATAAAAAGCATAAATTTTTTCTGGAGCATTTAGGTGTGCATTAACACAATACCATGCAGTGCTCAAAGAAACTGCAAAAAACCCAAGAGCTACATCTGAGATCCTAAAGTTCTCAGCAAACTGTCAAAGTTGACGACAGTCCAATAAGAAAAAAAAAAGGGGGTGATGATTTGAGCTTGTTTTCGAGCCTGGGCACTTCAAAATTATTGAATTGAACATGATTTCCTGTGTATGCCAAAGTATTCTAGAGTCAGAACCAGAATACATTAGTTATTGTTCTTATAAAATAAACTAAATAAATAATACCATATATGAAAGTCGTAAAATAGAACAAAATGACTCTAATAGATATAAATAGCCCTAATTATAAATATTCCAGTATATTACACAAATTAAACATATATGGTTGACATTTAGGTGCCCATCTTATCACACTGTACTTTGTTTTGTTTTTTGTAGAGAATGTACAATGGGTGTACAATTATTGCAGTGTGTACTTGTGCTTTACATGGATAAGTTGTACAGAGATGCACAGGCAGGAATGATTTCCTGCGTCGTTCAGTAGTGCATTGGGGTAATCTCCGTGTCTCTCTTGTTACTGGCCAAGATTTCATGGAGTGTATGGGCGGTACTGTCCAGCATTGTCCTTGTCTTGTACAGCCGCCTCTCTGAAACCACCTCAAGAGAGTCCATCCCCACAACGGTACTTGCCCTGTGGACCAGTTTATCCGGTCTTTAAGTCTGACGTCATTAGCCGTGTCTGTGCCCAAACTCTGCCGCAGGTCCCTAAGTCAAACGATCACTGCGGCATCACTGAGAGTTGAAAAACTGTCTAAATTCTTTCATCTGTAATAATATGATCCGTGTGGCTGCTTTACCAGGTGTAACAATGAAGTTTAACATCCAGGCATCCATGAAAACAGAATTTATTAAATTCAACAGCGTTAGAAGTTAGCTTGCTAGTTTCCGTCTAAATATAATATACCATGTTCTGACTTAGAGATTTCTGGAAAAAAAATTAAGACGTACACCTCTGCTATCACGTCCAACATAAATGAAGACAAAATACTAAACAGAAGTGACGTTTGTAGGGTTGCTGAAGTTGGGCTAGCTGGTATATAATGATGTGCTACGACACTAGCGACACAGCTATGTTAGCATAATATAAACACAGTGAAGCTGGAGGATGAACGCTAACTTTTTTCCACTCAATAGTGAGGGATCCTGATTGTTAGGGACAAATGCAATTGCATGGCAGGATGATGTAAACGGACCAAACTTCAGTCAAGAGAAAAACTGAGATAATCCATCCACAATGCAAGGTTAATCATTAATTTATTGCTCTACAGGTGGGGGAGAGACATAAGAGAGGTAGAGAATAAACTTAACCTGGGTGTCTGTTGTCTTGTGTAGTCTGGGAGACCCTCAATCCCAACCATGTGAGACCATCTGTCTGGCAGCTAAAGCTTGGTCAAATGTCAATCATGAAACAGGATAATGCTGCCTAGCACAGCAGTAACTCTACAACACAATGAACGAAAAAGAAAAGAATTGAGGTGTTGCAATGGTGCAGTCAAAGTCCGGACTTGAAACTGACTGAAATGATGTGGACCTTAAGAATGCTGTACATGAACACAACGATATGAGAGACTTCTAGTCATACAGAAAACCATTAATTCTGGTTATTTCTGCTAAAGGTAGTTCTAAAATCTGTTGACATGTGTTTAGTTTTTCACGAAATTGCGTAGTACTTCATCAGGAAAATGAGTCATGTCATGAGTCATTTTGAGGAATAATCAGAGACCCTGCAACATGTTTTGTAAGTTAGACAACACTGAATAGTCCAGACTCTTTTTATGACTCGCAAAAAATTCTGCTATTTATGCAATTAGTATAAAACAAAGAGACACTGACTCAGAAAATACCAGGAAGTAAAAACTAACTTATAACTATGATGTCTACTCCAAACAGTGGGGCACAGACAAAATGAGAAGTTTTTTGCAATGAAATGACTACTGAGGTTCATGCAATTTCTTAGAAACATGAACTGGATGTTTACAACAAAGCCTTGTTCTGCCTGTGGTTACCTTGGCACCAAATGGCCCCGGTTCTCCCATAAACCCTGGGACTCCTATAGGACCCTGTGGAAACAAAAGGTAGGAGTCAATGGTTGTAGACATAGAAACAAGTGCACAGTTTTTCTTTTACTTCTAATCTACTCACATCTTCTCCAGGGTTACCACCTCGTCCTGGCAAGCCACTGTAACCTTTAGTCCCCTGAAAGAGACCGAATGAGAGAAGGATATAATCAGACAAAAAGCAAAGATTGTCTATAAATTTTTTTAATATATTGCAAAACGTCATCCAAAATGAAAAGTTTTAATGACTGCTAAAACTACAAAACTCAAAAGGCATATTGAAAGGATGATAAATGTGAAATGGACTGGTTCTTATATAGCACTTTTTCTACTATACTATACATAAGAAGAAACATAGAAGAAAAACAAAGAAACACTACTGGTGAAGATGCACATACAGGGAGTGCAGAATTATTAGGCAAATGAGTATTTTGTCCACATCATCCTCTTCATGCATGTTGTCTTACTCCAAGCTGTATAGGCTCGAAAGCCTACTACCAATTAAGCATATTAGGTGATGTGCAACTCTGTAATGAGAAGGGGTGTGGTCTAATGACATCAACACCCTCTATCAGGTGTGCATAATTATTAGGCAACTTCCTTTCCTTTGGCAAAATGGGTCAAAAGAAGGACTTGACAGGCTCAGAAAAGTCAAAAATAGTGAGATATCTTGCAGAGGGATGCAGCAGTCACAAAATTGCAAAGCTTCTGAAGCGTGATCATCGAACAATCAAGCGTTTCATTCAAAATAGTCAACAGGGTCGCAAGAAGCGTGTGGAAAAACCAAGGCGCAAAATAACTGCCCATGAACTGAGAAAAGTCAAGCGTGCAGCTGCCAACATGCCACTTGCCACCAGTTTGGCCATATTTCAGAGCTGCAACATCACTGGAGTGCCCAAAAGCACAAGGTGTGCAATACTCAGAGACATGGCCAAGGTAAGAAAGGCTGAAAGACGATCACCACTGAACAAGACACACAAGCTGAAACATCAAGACTGGGCCAAGAAATATCTCAAGACTGATTTTTCTAAGGTTTTATGGACTGATGAAATGAGAGTGAGTCTTGATGGGCCAGATGGATGGGCCCGTGGCTGGATTGGTAAAGGGCAGAGAGCTCCAGTCCGACTCAGACGCCAGCAAGGTGGAGGTGGAGTACTGGTTTGGGCTGGTATCATCAAAGATGAACTTGTGGGGCCTTTTCAGGTTGAGGATGGAGTCAAGCTCAACTCCCAGTCCTACTGCCAGTTTCTGGAAGACACCTTCTTCAAGCAGTGGTACAGGAAGAAGTCTGCATCCTTCAAGAAAAACATGATTTTCATGCAGGACAATGCTCCATCACACGCGTCCAAGTACTCCACAGCGTGGCTGGCAAGAAAGGGTATAAAAGAAGAAAAACTAATGACATGGCCTCCTTGTTCACATGATCTGAACCCCATTGAGAACCTGTGGTCCATCATCAAATGTGAGGTTTACAAGGAGGGAAAACAGTACACCTCTCTGAACAGTGTCTGGGAGGCTGTGGTTGCTGCTGCACGCAATGTTGATGGTGAACAGATCAAAACACTGACAGAATCCATGGATGGTAGGCTTTTGAGTGTCCTTGCAAAGAAAGGTGGCTATATTGGTCGCTGATTTGTTTTTGTTTTGTTTTTGAATGTCAGAAATGTATATTTGTGAATGTGGAGATGTTATATTGGTCTCACTGGTAAAAATAAATGATTGAAATGGGTATATATTTGTTTTTTGTTAAGTTGCCTAATAATTATGCACAGTAATAGTCACCTGCACACACAGATATCCCCCTAAAATAGCTAAAACAAAAAACAAAAAACTACTTCCAAAAACATTCAGCTTTGATATTAATGAGTTTTTTGGGTTCATTGAGAACATGGTTGTTGTTCAATAATAAAATTATTCCTCAAAAATACAACTTGCCTAATAATTCTGCACTCCCTGTATCACACAATAAAAAAAAAAATCACTGAAAGCACAAAGTGTATGAACAGCAATAATATTACATAATGTGCTTTTAAAAACTTTGTGAGCAACAAACTTAATTGAATCTGAACAGTCTGAACACAGTTTTATTCCCATTCTGTTCACACACAGACTTCAAGGAAACTATGTGTGAGTCAAAACGCTACAAAAATGTTCCCAAAGAGTAAAAGATGTATCTTTGATCTACTTCTACACTTTATCTTAGGATAGGATTAGGATTCAAGGATCAAGATGCAATCAGAAAGAAATTAGGTAAAATGACTCAGGAAAAAAGTAAAATAAAAAGGAGTGGTAAGAATAACGGGCTCCAGAAAATGTAACTAGCTAATCTACTTTTTAACGACTCAGTGAATCAACTGATAATCATATAATGATCAGAACCGCTTCAGCTTCAGGAAATCCTAAGAGAAAACCGATTAATGAAGTTTTGAGTTGTTTGTTCCTGTCAGTGAATCACACTGACGTGCTGCTGTGTGTGAAACTAGTTAAACAAAAACTTGGGTTGTTCATTACATTACACATTATAAATAACTTTGGCAGCAGCACACTGTTAAATGTTTGTGAACTGGTTAAACAGGTTAAATAGATTTTCTGGGAACCAAGTCAAATTAAGATAACTCCTGTACTCACTTTTACTCTTTACTTTCACTTTTACTTACTACCCTTCAACTACAGCTCTTCAAAGAACCTTAGCCTCAGTTTTGTTATACTGGCACTCTTATTAGACACCGGTGTTCATGCATTTCTCAGTTTGACTCAGTATTTTAGTGAGAATTTTGTACAGAAACTTTTCAGTAAACATCTCTGTAAGTGTAAAAATATTTAACAAAAAGTCAGACGGCTGAGATCAAAGTAATAGAGAACTCTTTGGGAAAGTTCAGAAACTACTCTGTGTTTTTGATTCTCTGCCAAAACAGCTAATACAGTGATTTAATCCAGTGCTTCCACATCACTGAAACTTTTCATTTTTATACTTTCTTTTTGGCTTCTATAGCTCACTTACATATAGACAGAAAAGGTAAAGGTAAACATATACTTTTTTAAAACCCTATAGCAATAAGTGTAATATATGGTATTTTTTTTCCTCTCTGAACTTAAAGTTTCAGGGAGACCTAAAGTTATAAGAGCTAGAAATGACTCACAAGAAAATTACTTTCTTTCCTACTGAGAGAAAAACAGCTTATGGGGATTTTGCCTGCCACCAATGAGAATCTACATTGATTTATTGAATCTTCTTATCATCAGTTATATCAGATCAAATATATTTCCCGTTTTTCAGTGTCACATTTAGATTACAAAGGTCATATGAAGCACAGGAAGAAATGATCTTTTTCTGCTTGTGACTGATTGACAAACATGATTGTCTGTCATAAGTTTAGTTTGTTGCAATAAAAAAATATTGTGAAAACTAAGGGTTGCCAAAGAGTTTCTTATTTAGTAAGTAGGTGGTTTTGCTGTCTAAACCACACAAGTTCTTTTCCCTCCATTTCCAGTCTGTATGCTAAGATAAGCTAAGCACACTCCTGATTTCTACTCGTTAAACAGATTTTTAGGTATCTTCATCCTTTCATCTCGTGTGTGTGTGTCATCTTTAGTTAATTAGTGTAATTGCTTTATATAGCACATTTTCTGGCTCCGTGTTGCCTAATAACCCAACTTGTCACATGATCCACTTAGTTAATAGCTGACACACATTAAATATTTGGAATTTTGTTACTGGAAACTGTGCATCCTCTTCTTTTATTATGTATTTTCCCAAATTTTCTTATATATTTCCACACTTTTCTCAATATGATAGAATTTTTAATATACATACACATTTTTCAGTCAGTGATTTCCATTGATAGAGATCTCCAAAAGTTGATTCTGTTCATCTGGATATGAAAAGTGGCAGGTTAGCCTTGTTAGACTGTGAGATTTCCATCTGTAATGGGGGACAGCTAAAAGCTGATGTGTACCATAAACCTACGCATACGGATCAGTATTTAAGGTTCGACTCTCATCATCCACTGGAGTATAAACTGGGTGTCATCAGGACACTACAACACAGAGCGAACACCATCCCCACAGACACAGCAGCCAGGGAAGCAGAAGAACATCACATCATCACATCAAGAAGGCCCTGAGTAAATGTGGTTATCCCAGCTGGACTTTTGTCATTTACACCTACAGGCCAGTGGACACTCTTTCAATGATGAGGATGTACACATCCTGGACAGGGAGGAATGCTGGTTTGAGTCAAGGAGGCCATTTACGTGAAAAGGGAAAGACCATCTCTGAATCGAGGAGGGGGCCTAAGGGTACATCTTTCGCCATCGTACAATGCTGTGATTGCAGCCATTCCCCAACTCTCTGTGAATGGTACTCATGGCCATTGATCAATGGGCTTTGATCAGTGGTTGTTGATCAATGGTCATGAGAATTTGCATAATCATGATGAAGGAACTGACCTCCCAGGCCATTGTTCCTTCAGTGGGCTGGTTTCAGTCATTATGCAAATATGCTGTTTACCTGCATGAATGACGAAACGTTTCTCCCACTGAAAACGTTACGTCCAGATGAACAGAATCAACTTTTTGGAGATTTACTTACCTGGATGATTGAGCATGCATTAAGATAGAAAGCTTGTTTTTTTTTTTTATTTTCTGATAAAACTGAGCAAAAAGATTATTAAGATCTCCTACAAATCATCTTGTTTTATTCTTGTTGTGGTTAATTTTATTTTAATTTTATTTTTAATACGATAAAAATGTTTCTGTTTCTTGTTAATCATTTATTTAAAAGGTTTTCCTGAAGGAGGCTTTTGAAAGCCTTCAGTCAACATGAAGTTTTTCTGACTACTACTCTGAAGTCTCAGTAGGACCACTGGTGAGGTGCCAGCAAACAGGTGGAAAATATAAAGTTAAACAAATGAATAAATTACAATACAATATTTGGGGGGGAAGGCAAGGAAACATACATGTGCTTGTGCTGGCACATTTAAGTAAAATTCAACTTCAACCATTTTTATTCTTTTTGTTTTTTTATTGTGTGTTGCTATAACTTATTTTGGCTTCTAGGCTGAAATAGGTTAGAAAAAGTTTGAGAGCCAGTGATGTATACTGTTATACAAAAGTGTTTTTGTCATTTATTCAGCTTAATAAAGTGTGTACTTAGAGTCAACTAACACTGCATATGTTTGTGTGTTACATTAATACTAAATTCTTTAATTGCCCATATTTACATCATTCCCTTTATTTTAGCTTATTTGTAGGGAGTTTTACCAGCTCTTAACAGTGTGCCTTGGCTTTAGACAGTTTTGCTATTTTTATGGCTGATTCATTAGTTTGTGATGTGGGTCTCGCAAAAGGGCAGAAATGAGATATCCAAACTGGAAAAACAAAAGAAGTACCCTCTGGGCAGTAATAATATTTATGTGAGATTCCTGTGAAATGTGGCCAGGAGCCAGAGTGACTCTCAGACTCATAAAATGCAAAAGTTTTCTTCCCAGGCTGAATCATGAAGGCCATAATCTGGAAACTGAAAGGATGACTGGGTGAACTTAAATACAGACACTTGGGCATGAAAAAAAAGATTTGAGCAGAATAAAAGTGCCTCAGTTTATTTGTGTACCTTCGGACCGCTCTTTCCGATTGGGCCTTGCTGTCCAGGATAACCCTGAGGAGGATAAACAAGAAATATTGTTCTCAGATTTTTTTAAATCAAAGGAGAAAAAAGAGAAATGAGTTCAAATATGACGTGAAGAAGAAAATTATATAAAACAGTGAATTCGGGAAATTTTAGAAATGAAAACACCAAATAAGCCGCTTTGTACTAGAGCCTGAAGCTTAGGCGCTTGTGTCACTTTAAAAGGAGGAGTCTGAGTGATATCATCTGTTGCTACGTAGATGGAACACAATTAAATAAAGGAAGATTAAACCACAAGGCAACCCTTGACAGAGTCACATGTGTACCGCTATAGTATGCGTCAGTATTTGTTGTAATGGAAACCCGAAGAAAAGAGAAACGTGAATCTCCTCAACCCAGGAAAGGTTTATGGAATTATATCTGTGACTCTGTTCTGTGTAATGGGACAGTTTGAAAAGTGTGTTTGGAGGACATAGGAAAAAAAAAGTTGTACGTTCTGCCTTTCGTGTAGATTTAATCAAATTCACAGCTCACAGCTAATGAAATTTCCTCCTGCTCATTTGCTAATAGAGGTAAAACTAACTACTGTGCGTCTCAGATTGAGCAAACTTGGGACTGCACAGACAGAGAAGTTATTAATACACTTTTATGCTGATTAAAACAAGCATGCCGAGATATTTGAAGATATTTTGTCTATTGCATAACATAACTAATGCATAATTGAATAGAGTCCCAGATATATATTAATACACCAGAGAAACTGCATCATCAGATGTCTTAAAAACCTTTGATACAATGTTTTGAATCGGTTTTTTGATGTAAAAAAAAATTGCCAAGAAAGGAAAGGTTATGGAAGTCAAATGAGATTAAAATTCAAATCAAATGATGACACATAGAGTAAATGTTAAGATGTTTTGGTAGTTTCCATGACCAGTAATGATGTGTCTTACAGTGTAGCCTCTCTCGCCAACATCACCTGGAAACCCAGGTGCTCCTGTTTGACCCTGTTGACGAAGAACAAACATGTTTAGATCGACACCAAGACAGCTGTGACTTTAACCGGCACTGCTGGTTAGCAAAAAACTGTGCAATAAACAGCTAGACATAATGCAGAAGAATAAAAATAATTATTTTCTTTTAAGCAAAGAAACTGTGTCAGTTTTTGATCATAGACATTTTAAACCACCTTCAGTTGTGTGCCAGGGGAAATCACCAAACATTTTCTTTTTTGAAGAATTTAAGTACGTGATACTTATATACCTTTGGTCCGTCTCTTCCCTGAGGACCTTGTCTGCCTTTGTCACCAGGAGCGCCCTAAAAAAGAAAAAACACATCCACCCAAAGTGCCAAAAACTAATAAACCACCAGAGCATTCAAAACACATGGTTAAAAACTTTATTATATTATTCAGTGTAAATAAATTCATAAAATACAGAAACTTAAAATAAAAAAAATCATATACACACTGTATACACTTTAGTAACAAGTACTGATTGTTACTGTTATTACTTGTTAAACCAGTATTTTATTCAATAATTTATTAAGAAAAAAACAAAACAATAAAAATCAGTTTATTTCCATGTCTTTATGGGCCTATTGACTTGGCCAAATAAATAAATAAAGATAAAAATTGAAAAGAACCACTAATATTTGAGTTTATAAATACTGATACTAATAAATGATTAATAAAATAATTTCAGCATTTGCCTCATCAAAATGTTACTGAACATAAAACACAGCTGCGTTGTTGTATTCCAGTCGTGTAATTATCATGAGGACATAGTTATCACTCTTTTTTTTTCTTTCACCTTGATACCTTTAGTCCCTCTTCCTCCAGCAGGCCCAGCATCACCACGACGACCCTGAAATAACCAAAAAACTCAATTACCACCTTTTCCAGTTGTGTGGCTCCATCAGCTCATCAAGTTCTAGGGTCTATAATATATAATCCATGTCTATAATATTAATCTCCCCAATCCAGGGTCTAGCCAAAAGTAAAATGTGGTGATTTATGGTGAATTGTGGCACTGAAACATTAACTGGAAAATGCTGTCTCATCCATTCGTTAAAAATTGCATCATCACTTTATAATTTTAGTTAATTGTGTCATTTATTCATTTATTTTTTGTCCTAATTTGAACATCAAAATTTATGTTCTTTCCTGAGTCAAAGTGAAACTTTGTGCCTAATATGAAGAACGACTCTAGAGGTTTGAAAGAAATTGTTGTGTTCACAAGAGCAGGATTCTTTTGCAGGCAAAAACTCTTCAGTGATTTACCATGTCACTACCCGATCCGTACCGGAAACCCGATCCGTACCACGCATGTGCGAAAGGCATCTACTTCCACTCGAAGCATTTTATTATAGTTACGGGTCAGCGTATCTGTTAAGATGTTAACAATAATAAGTATCTGTTAAAATGTTTGCAATAATGAAACATTTCAATACAATGTAGACCAAAAAAAAAAAAGTTACGGATCAGGACTCCCCAATCCTTACATGTTCAAAAGTCAGACCATACAGATCTGGTCTACCCGATCTTACCGCCTACGTGCAGATGTTCTCTTCTTCTTCTGTTTTGTTGTGTATGCGAGTTAAATTTGATTTAGTAATAGTCGAGTGTGTTTATGTTTGTCTATGTGGAGAGGATTGATTGGAATTGTGACGATGATGTCCGCTATCACTGACAATTGTCAGTAAACACTTAATTTGGCTAATGAATCTTCACGTGACTCATTACAAATGTTTATTTTTAGACACAATAGGCTTCTATACGGAGGTATCCATTGTTTAAATGTCCCGGGCAGTCGAAAAGGAAATATGTCCAGAAATACTAGGAGCTTACTTGGCGCTAACCATGTCATTGAAATACATTAACTGTCACAATGTTGGCAAAGAGAGGAAGTGACGAAAGATTCTCGCGTGCGTGGTACAGATCGGGTAGCGACAAGCATCATAACAGATGAAGTAATCATCTTGGCCATCATGTGAGATGGGCTGTGATAAAGTGATAATAACTCCTTTCATACATGAGCAGGGAACTATATTATTTAACTATGGTAGTAATAATATTTTACAATTCTTCAGCCAGTACGGAGTGGCTCTTTGGATCTCATAATACACATAATGTTTGGAAGTCAAAAGGCACTGCATATCACCCTAAAACACCAGAGCAACATTGAAGTTTGGAGGTGGGAATTTCATGGTTTCAAATATACCAGGATGGAACAAGGGTGGAAAATTTCAGCAAGACAGTGATCCCAAACACACAGGCAAGGAAACTCAGTTGGTGTCAGAGAGAGAAAATAAAGCTGCTAGAATGGCTCAGACCTGACCTGAACCCAATGGAAAATCTATGTAAAGAACTAAAGCTCAGAGTTCATAGAAGGAACTCACAGAACATCTGAATTTGAAAACTATGTAATGGAGAGGGCCAAAATCACACCTGAGTAATGCTTGTGACTAGTTTCTCCACACAGGAGACATCTTGTCACCGACAAAGGCTTCTTTACGAAGTATTACATACATTTCAGCCAGCGTGTTCAATATTATTTTCCTGTGCCATTTCTCATTATTACAGATAACTTTGAACATCTATGGTTTGTTTTCTTAGCATGTGTGGATTGAATGGGTTGTTTTTGTGCATGAATAAATGTGTGTGTGTGTGTGTGTGTGTGTGTGTGTGTGTGTGTGTGTGTGTGTGTGTGTGTGTAACTGCAGTTAGGGGTCATAAAGTTTATTATCAGGAACTGCCAGAAAAATCCCCCAAACCCCAATCTGCTATTTAAATGTGTCATTTGTTTGTTGATACTCTGGGTGATTTCCAGGATAATGACACAACCTCTGTTGTCTCAGTCTGCAGTGGGAGGTGGTTTCAGTTTCATTTCCTGAATGTGTCAGTGCATGTCAGTGAAATACCTTAAATTAATCTAATTTAATCTTTTTTTTAAAAATGTGCCTGCATAATTTGCTTGCTATGCTTACATAGCATCTACAACAGTTGAAATCCAATTATTAAAGCTTTTCTGTGTAACTTTTGCACTGTTTTTTTTTCCAACACGGAAACCCATTGATTCAGTGTAGACTAAATAACATCTGCCAGTTTAAAAATAGTGTGACTCATCGTGGAGTCACGACTTCCTTACTTTCACTTTTATCAGAATTAGTCTGATTTAGTTGAGCTGAAGCAAATGTTTCACTAAAAACCTGTTCTTATTCAGCTTATTGAAGTTTAGCTTAGATGTTAAATTTTCCACCACAGAGAGGCTGAGAGGTAGCTGTGTTCCTTACAGTCTCACCAGGAGGTCCGACTCCTCCACGGGGTCCCTCCAATCCCATGTCACCCTGTCAACAAGAAGAGGCACTGCAATTATTGGCTACTTGAGCTGCTAATAACACATAATAACTGCTGGGCTAAACAAATGCAAAACAGTATAAAAATACAATGGTTCAATGTAAATCTGTAATTTAAAACCATAATGTTTTTAAATTAATTATATAGTTATAATAAATCATATAAACAGCAATAGATAGATCTAATAATTATGACGTCTACCACAAACTAATATTATGAAGCCCTGAACTGTAATTCTTTCAGCATAAAATCACATAATTTCAGGTCAAATGAGCTTTCTTTAAATTATTATTATATTACATGTCACTTCAGTGAATTTTAAACTTACTGATGGGGTTGATGCAATTGATAATTACACTTCATATAGTTCTCTAAATGTAGCTGTTGCAGGTATTGCAGTCTGCTTAGGTATTGTCTGTCTATCATTATGCAAATATTTTGCTTATTTATTGACAGGAGCATAGAAGACATTTAAACAAACAAAAATATTGTAAATAATGCACAGAAAAAAATAATGCTCCAAAGGGAAGAGATGCTGTAACTTGTAGATAAATACCTGACACTGTGAAAACATTATGTCAGGTATGACATTGTGGAAATACTAAATGTATACTGTAATCAGTGCATTAACTCAACAGTGATGCATCTATCAACATCCCTCCAACCACATGACTGAGGCGAGAGGGGTGGGAGGGATAGAGTGTGCGTGTGTGTGTGTGTGTGTGTGCGTGTGTGTGTGTGTGTTTGTGTGTGTTTACCTTTAGACCCACATCTCCAGGCTCACCTGGCTCTCCTGGAAGTCCAGTTTCTCCCTGACAGATTCAATGAATAAGCTTAGGAAAGTTTTAAAAATCCTCACAGATGGAGCTGCAGCTTTACGGAGCTTAACTCTTTGGTGAAAAAAAAATTTCAGTTATTACTTTAAAAGGTTTTAAATGAAACTTAACAGCTCACACTCTGCACTTATATCTTTTAATAGTCACAATAAAATGTAAACGTAGCCAGTTAACTTTCACTTCAGGATGGACTGGTTAACTCACTGTGGCTCCAGAAAAACCAGAAGCTCCTTCATCTCCCTCAGGACCATGGTCACCCTGCAAAATGAGGTCAAAGGTTACAACAGACAAGGGCAAAAACATTTCCAAAGCTTATACACAACACTCACTCTCCTCACACAACAAAGCAGTTTCATAGTCTTAAAAATTGCAACAGCTGAAAGTTATAAACAGTGAATTTTTGATATATGGTGAAATCAATTTAAAAAATAAAAATAATGAAATTATTGGAATGACTGATTATATCTTAATCCTTGCTTTAGTTGGGGCACCTCGAGGTGTTGTGTAAAATAACACTAAAACAGCAGAAAACACTTTTTTCCCTTTTCCTGTCATAGACAAGATTTTTTTTCTGCTTTAGTCTTTAATTACTTAAATTACCCAAATTACTTTAAATTTAATTAAGTTTCAAATGAAGAGCTTTCACTTTCAGTTTGGCTTCAGGTTTTTAACAAACTTTCCTTCACTGCTTATACCTCTTTTACTTTCTGTTTAGCTGACTGGCTTTTATGGTCGTTAAAACTCAGTATTTTCAGTTTCATTTTATTTTTTCTTTAGTTTTTACTTTCACTCTATGTTACAACACCAATGCTGTCATTACTTTCACAGTGTTATGGGAGCTACAAATGTAAATACAAGCTATTTTGCATGGTAGTATCAACTGTGACTGCTGTAGCATGATTTACTCACCACTGGTCCAGTATCTCCTCTCCTTCCCTGAACACCTTTGGTCCCTTTATAGCCCTAAAACACAAAACGGATAAATAACCAGTAATTAAACTACTTGAATATGCAGCTGCTGCTTTAGTATCACTTTAATCAGGCATTCTTGTCATAAACAAACATCCATTATTCATGTTTAAGACTTTTACCTCTCTCCCTTGAGACCCTGGTTTACCGGTTTTACCCTGCAGGCCTCTGGATCCCTGAGAGAAAGAGAAAAGGAATCAGACTGTGGAAAACAAAAACTACAACATAAACAAACCTACATTTGACCCTAGTTTTGGATCAGGCCATGCAGTGTAAGAATGAAACAAAGGGGCCATTGACTGCATTTAGCCAGTGATGTGATGCAATGTGGCTGTACCTTCGGTCCTGTGAAGCCAGCAAATCCAGGCTCTCCGGGCTCACAGTCACACTCTGTTGGCCCCACCTGCCCAAGCTCTGCATCGCCCCCTGACTCTTCTGAGGAGCCAGTGTCAGGCTCATATGGCACCTAAAACACAACATTAACAAATATTATCACACCTATGGTGTCCTTCAAATTTAGCTTCACTACACCCAATGCCCTGCACCCGCATAGACATGGTTTTGTAGACATTCCTGATTCCATTTTCCTTGTTTTAAAGAAACAGTTACCAAATCAACCTCATAGTAAGATTTGCTTGACTTAAACTAAAATGGACACATTAAATTAATTTTGAATCTCATTATTGGTGAGGAATATTCAATAATACTAATTTTATATTACTCGTAACAATCTTTTTTTTTAATCGCTTATTGGCCTTGTGCAGTGCTTCAGATTAGCTATGCTCTGGAACAAGTATGTCATTTTCATCATGAAGAACCACAAGTTGCAGAAGAGGCTTGATGGTGTAGGGTTATGATTCTTGTAGGTTCAAATCCTGGATGCGCCCTTACTTTGGAGCAATTACTGACCGATAGTTCTGGCAGGCAGTTTGCTTTCAGCATCACTAAACAAAAATTGTAGAAAATCTAGCCCATTACAGAAGACTGCCGGTAATAATACTTAAGTGCCTCCAGGGGGCAGCCACCCGCCTGTGACCTGAAGTGGACACTCCACCCGATTCTAGCTGAGAACCATGACCTCAGACCTGGAAATGCGGACATTCATCTGCCAATCACCTCACTTAAAGCTGGAGGCTCCCACCTGAGGGAGCCAACAGAACCACATCATCTGCAAAAAAGCATAGATGAGATCCTGAAACCACCAAAGTCCAAACCTTCTGCCACTTGCCAAAGTCCAAAACCCATAAGGAATAAATCCGACTTATTGCCAACAATGCAGACCAAGCTTTCACTTGGCTGTACAGGGACTGAATGACCCTTAACAATGGGCTGAATGCCCTTTAATAGGAAGATTTTTATGCGTGAGAGAGGTCAGGTTTTTATGAATGCTATATGAAACTAAAACTCAGTTCCTAGTTATGTTTAGCAGATATGAAATTGTTGAGGGGCTTGGAACAAAGAGAGACTGAAAGAGGCTTGTTGTTTTTTAAAGCTCTCTCTGCATTTCTTCCTGCTGCAGTTTAATATTGTTGTTGAGCTACCCCTGACACTCCCAGCACACGGCTGTCCCACCTGCACGATCTCAGTGTCCTCTTTGGCATAGTGGGACTCAGTGGTGGTGATGTAGGGAAAGGTGTCCTCAGTGATCATGGTGATTTGGGTGGGGATTGGGCCATAAGTGTCATAATCCTCCTCCTCGAATATCTGGTCCACATCATAGCTATGAGTCGGCTCTGGTGGATATTCTAAGGAAATATTAAGACGTTTAGTTTTGTTTGGACTTTGTGGTGCATTGTTACAGTCAGCAGTCCTGGTCTGGAGCCCCGAGGACTTCAAACAGTCAGAGAGTGTCCTCTGGTACAGTTTACACTAACTGTGTTACTGATCTCACCTGGCTGAGGAGCAGCTAAGTTGTCATAGTGGTCAACTGCAGAAGACTCTTCATAGGTGTGTTCCTCACCTGAATAGACATGCAAAATACATGAGGTAAGAATTCAGTATGAGACACATGGGGAAATGTGACTCGTTTTAGGGGTATGATTCCTGTTTTGAGTGTGCACGGGTTCAATTCCCTGATGAGCCCTTAACTTACAGCAAATGTGGGAGGATAAAAGTTGCATCATACTGTACAGATCAACAACTTCCAAAAACACCTCTCCTCTCTTGCAAAACTGTGATTTGAGTCAGTGCATTAAAGTTTATGAATAAAGTGAAGTTACAATCGGAAGGGTTTTTTGTTGAAAAAACAAAGAAACAAACAATAATTTGTGGTAATAATTGAATAAATATGAGTTTGTAATGAATATGTGATAAATTTTGTGCTCGCCTAACAATGCAATTCATTTAAAGTTGTTACTTTTTTTCTCCACATAAGCCTTTACTTGACTACGATATTAAACAAGAAAGTTACTAATGAGTTGTGAAGGTACTTTTTAAAAGTAATTAAGCAGTGTTTATCATAATTAACTGTCGATTAGTTACCTAGAAGAAACCAGTTTACAATATTCCTCAGCTGGATTCTATAATTGTGTTATCTGTCACCTGTTGTTCTTTAGTAAAACAAGGCTAAACAGCTATTGTTTCACCTGAGGTTAAAGTTAAATCAGTGTCAGCATGAGGAAGCCCTGACCTGAGTGGTATCCAGAAAATTCCTCCTGGCAGTGAGAAGAGACGGCAAACAGCATGAACACGAGCAGCCCCGAGAGGAGCGACGCCTGCAGGGGACACATCAAATACAGCAGATAGACTCATGCAACACAATTCACCATTTCACACAACCTGAATGAATATTAAACTGTAAACTAAGATGTCACTGCTGGATGAGTTTGTTTTCTGACCCACTGTTCCTACTACAAGTGCTGTCAGCTGTATTTAAATAAATCCCTCCATTTGACTCTATTAATTAAATTAAATTAATTAAATTAGGTTTAATTAAATAATTAAACCAACTAACTTTTGATTGGCTGCTTCTTGCACACTAAGAATTTGAACGGCAGGTGGGTGGGGCTCCTGTATTCACAAACAGTTAAGTGCATTTAATGACCACCAGAGATGGGCAGCAACGTGTTATTGTAATCTGATTACTACAAAAAGTAATTAGATTACTCTTACTTTCCCGTAAGCACGCTGCATTACTGCGTTACTAAACCGTGATTTGTGTGTGAGAGTGTCTGATGACAATGACGTAAGCGCGTGCGACGTCAGTGGCAGCAACAGATGTGTAAATCAACATCTGAGCAAGCACCTGGCCTTCTGCCATGGGAATGTGAAATTCACAGAGAAAGCGCCGGATCCCCCCACTGACAACTGCAAGAAACACTCGTCTGCTTGACTTCTGCATTTCTGTCATTGCAGGTGCTCATTGGTCTATCCTTTGAGGGATAGGTCCCCGTTTTAAATCGTAGACAAGCCCTAACTACACAAAGACTGTTGCAAACTATTCTACTTTGAAGAGTGCCCATGCTGAACCTCATGTTTTTAGATTTGAGTCCCTTGTTGGTATTTTTTTTTTAATGTTATGCACAAAAAGGGTATCAATTAGCTGTCTGTGAGGTAGCTCATCCATCTCGTGATCCATCATATTTCACAGGCTAAAAACAAACTAATTATTCTACAGGGACTGCAGCAGTGCTTCTTTCTCTGTGAAGTGAAACTGTAAACAAACAAGGTTTAAAAAAAAAAAAAAAAAAAAAAGATTGCAATCATGCTGATGTAGTTTTGCACCACTTTGACTTAGCAAAGACTTGTTTGACCTCGTTTTTTACACTGGGAGTATTTTGACCGCTTTATAGGGGCTTTTTAGTTCCAGGAGACTTGATAAGTCAGATTCTTTCTTCCATTTACTCAGTGCATCATGTAAAGTGTTTTTACATTGTAAACTTTTATATAGGATCCAACCAACTTTATTTTATTTCAGAAAAAGAAAAAGTTTAAAGTAATCATGAGCTGCATAAACAGCCTAAAGGGAGTGTTAAGTATATTGATCAACAGAAATTCAGCATAATTCAGCTCTAATTCCAGTCTTCAGTCTTGTTGCCTCAGCTCAGGTGACTGATTACTGTCAGGTTTTATGGCTCTGCTTAGACCAGTGACAGGTGTTATACTGCCCTCTGGAGGTAGCATAGTAAACTACTGGTAGGATACTGACAGAATACAATCCTATGGCAGTTTTTGTATTAGCCAAACAAATTTTTAATAGAAAAACAAAACTCCTTAATTCTAAAGGTCTTTGTTTATTTCCATGTTATTTTTTCCAGCACTGTAAACGCTATGTGCAAATATTGATTTAACCCACACGGTCAGTCTGATTGAATGAATAATAGGCAGGTTATCTGTGAAGCCTTTCCTGACTCACAGTGGTTTTTCATTCAATCACCTCTAGGCTGCATTCCTGAAATGCTCTTTTTGAAGGACTTCCTAAAAGGACCATCATTGGCTTCAGCTTAATAACCTTTCAACAGAAATTTGAATAACTAAAACTAATAACCATGTTAACCAGTTTTAGCAGAGCTGCACTGGCATAAGAAATTTTTTGCACAAGTGATTTTAAAATACTCCTTCTTGTATTTAAAGTCTTTTTTTTTTTAATTTAAAAGTTTACTTTAAGTTCTAACTCACAGTCATAGATCTTACACTGTCACTTGTTGGACAACCAATGACAAGTATCAAAAACATCAGAAGTGAAGCAACCGCTTTCACTGATGAACCTCCTGACCTCAGAGCAGAACTTGATGCATCAAATATGATCAGAGAAGTGTTTGGGTGGGCTATACCAACAAAGGAGAATGCTGTTTGCCTGAGAATTAAACAGACTGAGGTTTCTTTGTCAGGAGGAAGACTGCTGAGCACTTCTCAGACTCATCTGACATTCCTGAAGCCTCACTGTGAGGCTGCAGACCAGCACAGGAAAAACCTGCTCTGTACCTGGAAGGCTGTGTATTAGATTTTAACACAAGGTCACTGAACTGGATAAAAGGAGGATAAAAATGACCACAACCACATTTTTGTAATCATTTCCAAAACCTCAGATCAAACCTTTTGAAAAAGAATTTTGGGAAGATTCAAACCTTGAAAAGGTCAAATGAGCTCAGCTTCTCTGGTGTTAAAGAATCCCTCACTCTTATATTGTTTCTTTATTCAAGTAACAATTTATTCATATAATATTGCCCTGAATAAAGTAGCAAAAAGAGCTCATTATCCAATAATTTAACAAGAACATTTGCCACATTTCTGCTAGACAAATGTTGCCTTGTTAACCTTTATTAGAGGCTAGTTTGTGCATGAATTTAAACAACCCAAGAGAACAGCTGTAACAGACCATACAAGCAAATTCAAACCCAATTAACTCTGCCCTGTTGGACCTCTGGGGCAGTGAGGTAGTGAATACTCTCACATTTCATATTTAACTTTTTTGTTCATATTTGTGGATTGCTATAAAGAAACAAAGGCTGCTCCAACATTCCCAATGTGTGCAAAATCTATTTGGTCACATGGCCAAACATTACACCATGTACAAATTTCCCTTTGGCTTTGTTGTGAATTCTAGAGAAAAATCCAAAGTCAGCAAAGAATCTAAACAAAGCCTGCTCTGTGAATTAAAAAGCTTCCCCAGAACCTAAAAATTACCCACAAACATTCATCAGAAATGTCTGCTCAGCAAAATGACTCCCACACAGATGACTTACTGAACAGCTGAATACAGAATTAGTTTATGATGTATTGCACCAAAATGACTTTAAAAATGAAAATAAATTACCACAAGTTATACTGCAGTAAACAACAACAAAAAAGTTTTTTAGATAAATTCTGTCTGCAGATTTTGCAGATTTAGACGCTAACACAAACAAAAAGAGAAGATCTGCATTTTTAATATGGAAGTTAAATTAATTATATCGAAATTTTTAAGGCCTATATCAACATTTTAAGGTCCTGCTAACAGCCTGAGAGGCACTTTATAGACTGTCCAGTGGACTAAGGATAAACTAAAACCTTCCCCTGATTATTTTACCATAAGCAACATTTAACAGTTCCCTCAAAATGTGCAGGGCCAAATCCACATATGATGATAATTTCATCTTACCTTATCACAGGAGGCCCCCATGGTGCTGCACAGTGATTCCCTCTAGACCAGACCTGCTAAAGGATTCTTTGGGGATATATGGATGAGAACAAAAACAGCCAGATTTTACGTTCCCTGAGGAGTTTCCCTTACACTATTATCACCCCAACGGTTCCCCTGTACTCTCGTCTCTCCAGGATCCGTCAGGTTCCCAGGCACGGACGGGATCCTGTTCGACTTTATTTTGTTCCTCTCGTCCTCTATCTGTGCTTCTCAAAAGGGTGAGAAATACCAGATCCAGAATCCAGCATGAGCAGAGAAAAACCAGGACAGAAGGAAGATGAATAGATTTTGGGGTTTTGTGTCTTCACATTAATGTCTAGATCACATTTCCATGTGCTGCTGTCTGGAGTTGCAAAACAGTTTTAACATCTGATTTAAAAAAAACTGTTTTGAGGATTGTAATCATCTAGACCACAATTTGCACCCATAATCATGCCTTGTATTTCCTCTCATGAGCTAAATAAAAATACATTCAAAATAAACTATCATTTAACAATTTTTCAAGCTTCAGCGAAACTTTTTCAAATTAGTTTAGTGAGGAACACATTTTACCCTCAGAACAAGATTTCTTAAATCAAAAGACCGAATGTTTTGCTGTGTTGCAATTTCAAACAATGATGTCATTTATGCCAACACAAATAGATTGTGTGACTATAGAGACAATTAATGATAATGATAATAATAATTTGTTATATAAATTGGTCATTTTTATATTCTTCAACCTAGGAACAAGAATCACAGGTGCATAGTTTTGCAACTATTCTTCAGTGAACAGTCAGATTTAGTTTTTATGTTCTTCCTGAAAGTCTGAACTCTTTATCAGACTATTAATTTAAATATCTGTAAAATGATCACCCTACATTTACTTGCAGTGTTTTTTGTTTTTTTTATAAACAGACCACACAAACCCCCTTTACTCCATTTTCTTAATGACTTTCCAGGTAAACACACCCAAACTTACAGCAAAGACTAAAGGCCAAAAAATAACCTTTGAACTTATGGTGAAAGTAGGACAGTTAAGACACTCCTGTCTGAGATTCCAAGTTATCATTAAAAAAGAAAAAAAAAAAACCCAGCCAATCATGCAGAGGGAGGTAAGATGTGGCTGTGTTGTAAAACGCCAAAGTGCTGATTGAAAATGGTGTCAGTGAAGCAAAATAAAACTCAACCAGTGAATGTTCAGTTTAAAGACTTTATTGCGTTTAAATCTTTACAAAATGCATCAGTGTGTAAACCTATTTTTAGTCTCGCCTTGTGAACACTGCGACTTCAGAGTCGACTTCAGTCACTGCAGATTCAGCACTCTCACTTCTCCTTCTCCCTGTCTTTCTCATCTTTCTTCTTCTTCTTTTTCTTCTTTTTATCGTGGTGGTGGTGGTGGTCATCTGGGGAATGGGAATCCCTGTGAAGATCCAAAAAGTCCAAGTTAACTCTGCAGTATGCAAAATACATTTTGGTGTTACAAAACAAGATATTTTCAATCATTAACCCTTTAAGACCTACCATAGAACCAAGTCCACCAGAGCTTATAGTATATTTTTACATGCTGTGGAGCCATTTTTTTGGAGCATTTCAAGTTGCTATACATCAATACAACCATTATAGCCCAGATTTTAATAATATGCATGCATTAGGTGCATAGTAATTACATAAATTGCAAAAAAGTGCAATAAACTACAAAAAAATTGAAAATCATTTTTGATTTTTTGACATATATTTCTAGTTAGAGAAATTTAAGAGGCTTATCCCTCAAAACTGTAAATACAAAAATGTTGCACAAACTAGTTTCCCACCAAAGGAAATTTATTTTAAGTGTCTTCATAGTTTTATTTTTGAGATACACCAATTTTCATATACTGCAGGAAACACGAAAAAATAAATTATAGTGCAAATTTGCAAAAAAGCAGCATATGCATCAAAATAAAATATTTCCAGCAGTGCAATATGAGTCCTCAGCATCCCAGAAATGACACAGAAAGTCATAAAGTCAAACATAACTTTTAAAAACACAAGTATAGGCTCATAAGGCCACAATGGTAAAAAACTACATTTCCGCAAAATGACGTCACTTCCGGTTTCGGGCAGGTCATGCGGTCATGTGATAGTTCGCGCTGATGGACGTAGGAAGTGTTACAAACAGCTGATCTGATCGGCAAAGCGTGTTTCTGGAATATTATGTTTTTGTTGCTGCAAGTGCTTTTTATGCAGTTTTTGCAAAGCTGTATGTGGAAGGAAACTGTGACCTAGGACAAGCTGATGGCATCAGATGTAAGTACAACTCCTCCGGTTTCATATGCAAAAAAAATTATTGTGCTAGCTTACGTGGTTGCAGAGCTACCGGGATTTAAAAATAGTTACGCAAAATGGAGCGTGTCCGCTCCGACCGGCTTTAAAGGGTTAAGCTGTGAAGATGATGCAAATTATGTTATGTGGTTGTTTCTGTAATTGGTGTGTGGTATACAAGACCTAGAACAGAAGATAGAACTTCCCATACACATCCACAACCCTTAGATAAGTCCTTTCTCACCTGTCCCTCCTACTCTTCTTCTTCTTGCTCTCCCTTTCGTGGCTTCGCTCCCGGCTGCGGTGGCGTTTACTGTGGGAGTGGTGAGACTCTGAGGATGGTGAGCGTCTTTCATCCACCTGCCGCCTGAAAAACAAAACAATTTTAAAAAATTGTCTTTAACCTATAAACTCCTCTGATGCAATATCTTAATCGTCAATGAAGCATAAAAGTGATCATGAGGAGTGCTTCGTGTACCCGTGGGAAGACTGTTCCACTCTCATCGACTCCTCTTCATCTTCCTCCTCTTTCCACTGTCTGGCAAGTTCCTCAGAATGGACGTTGATCACCTCTCTGATCACCTGCAGGGCGATCATAGAGACCACATTACTGTTTCCTAACCTTGGTTCAAACAGGAGGACCGACACACTGAGCTTAGCATCAGATTTTCAGTTCGGAGATTCCCAGGCAGAGTTTATTTAGTATTCCAGTCAGAGTTATCATAGTTTAGCATTTTCTAATTAGTTTCTTTTTTTATTTCATTTTGACTTAAAAAAAAAATAAAAATCTGTAGTTTCCAGTTGACTCTCTTATTTCAGTTTAGTTTTTAATGTTCAAAAATGTTTCGTTTTATTTCTTCCAGTCTTGTTATTGCTACAGTGTGAAGGGAATATATTAGAGCCAAGACTCTGGAAAATCAGTGCAGATATTATATTGAAAAACACACTGAAAGCAGTTAAAATCCCGAGTTTCAATAAACGTGTCTATTAATGCCACATTAAACAAGATCTCATCTGCCGCGACCGGTTATGGTGAGAGAAGGAAGACAAGAAAACTACTTATAAAACAAACTTTGCCTTGCTTCCCATAAATGTTTACCCTGCTCAACAGAATAAGCTAACATGTCTTTCAAAACTATACTGCTCCCACCGAAAATTCTCTGCCTGTGTGAAACAGACACACGTATTGTTGAGATCTGGGCAGTCAGTCAACAGTCAGATGACCAGCATCTTGCTCAGTAGAATCGAAACTGAATTCTTCGCCCTCTTGTCCATCAAGATAAAGCCTGTTTTGTCTCTGGGCCTTTTGAGAAACTGTCCAAATTGGAGTTGGGTAGGGTGATGTAGCAGAAAAACTGATAGTGGAGCAGAGGCTGAGAGTTTTCTGAGGAAAAGAACTACTCAACAATTTATCAGACAGTCCGTTCTTTTGCTGCTTTGTGGAAGTCAAATGATATAAATTTAAAAAAAGCGTGTCCAGCTTCATGGACACTATATGTTGAAACTCAAGAGCACAATAATAGCTCCAGTAACTGGATTTCCAAATCAGGCTCACCAAATCCACTGGTCATTTATACTGTGCTGTCTTTCGTTTTCACCATTTTAAAGTACTGTTACTTTTGACATTTCCAACTAAAGATGGGAAAAGTGGTTCTTGTGATTCACAACACCCTTCATAATTTAAAGAAAAAGTTATTTCACCTTCATCATGGATTATATATAAATGAAGTAAATGATTAGAATCAGGACAACACTTATTGTTCTTTATCAACTCATCTACCTCAGTGTAGGATTTCTTGGTGATGTGAACATTTTTGGCTCTGTAGGACTGACGCCGCCTCTTGTAGTCCCTCATTTCTGCCATCAGCTCCAGTTTAGTCTTTGGTTCATTTTGTTCTTCACCTGAACAAAAACACACACAATTTTTATGTGGACTGCACCAGAGAAAGCCAAAAAAAGTTTTCCTTCACTAAAATTACAGCAACTCTAAGTGTAGAGTTAAACTTAGTTAAATCTCACCTTTTTGGAGTTTGGACACCAAATCTACGTAGAGATCGTCGTTGGAGGACGATGCTTCCTTCTGTTCATTGATGACGCCGACCACATGATTGTACAGAGCCAATCGGTCGGCAACAGTGAGATCACACACGGCTCGCTTGTGGTTCTGAGGCACGTCGACTGGCTCACCGGAGTACTGACCTGATAAAGGATCAGACAAATTTTACAAGCTAAGTGAGAAAACACAAACTAAACTGACAAGATTTTAGTTAATTTATCTAATTTCAAATCCTGGACTTCAACCTCAAAACAACCACCTGATCACTCAGAGTCAGAGGTTTGGGATAAGTTAAAGTTTTGCTTGTTTGGAATCCTGAAAAACAAAAAATTCAATCTTTCTGGTTTCTCTAAATTTCTAATTTTCTCTGCAGGAAACCCAACTCTAACCCCAGATGAGTCGCCAATAACCTGTTTGCTCTTAAGACATTAATGAGGTTAAAAAAACCAAAAACACGTCCACATAATGCAAGTCAAATGGTTAATTATTCCTAAGATCACTTCTCAAAGTAGCTCTGTATTCAGCCAAAATTGGATTCTACATAAAAGTAATTTGGTTTTAAGTGTTAAAGTAGAAAATCATAAAAGGCGAATTTACACCATGGACCCTGTTCTCAAAAAGTGACATAGATTTAACACTGACAGGAAATAAGTGCTTAAAGTTTTTTGGGGTTTTTTTTATGTTTAGCGCCATCTTGTGCCAGCACAGAGCATGACATCATTGGGTCGGTTGGCTGCAGTCAATAGACTTACATTAGTTTATGTTAGCT